TCCAAAAAGGGGGGGATCTGGGTTCGCAGCCTCTTCTGTCGCAAGGGACTGCCATCAGCTACAGCGGATCGAAGAAATGGGGCGGGTGAGTTTGCTAACGCTGCATTTCACCGCGATCAGCGAAAATACGCAGTTGCTTGTCAAGTGCAGAATAACTATTGTAGTTGGAGGCACCAGCCCTAAAACAACCTTGAAAGCATCCGCCGAAGCTGTCCTAGTGCAGGAGGGTGGCCAGATGGACCCCATGATGGATAGCGGGCATCTTGGCGGCAGGTCCGTAGGGCTTCGCAGAGTCGGTGGGCATCTTCAACACGGGCGTCTTCAGTTTTGTTTGTGCAAAGCAAGTCCATTGGTTCAAGGAGAGCTATGAATGGTCACCGAGATGCTGCTATGCCGGTCCCAATTATGACATGGCGTTGGAGTGCAGGCCGCTGGCCAGTACTGCCAAAGCAGCATGGGGACCTCCCAAATGGCTGGTGTTCCGCTTCGGTGGTTTGCGCATTAAACCGGCCCAAACAGGCACCCAAGAAGCATGCACAAACACACGCACATACCCATTCGCGGGTAAGTTGCTGGCTGGGCACGGGTGGCGTCAGGCTCGGGCAAGGTCCGCAGAGTGAATCAGAACTTCAAGGCCGACGAAGTGGACCACCGATTCGTGTAGCATCACAAGTTCCTTAAGAGCTAGCTTTTAAAATCAGAATGCGTTTGAAGAGTCAGCCTGTAGAATCACAACGTCTGTGTTGAAGCCATTCTTTGATTGCTCTTGGCTGTAGGTCGGTGCATGCGGTGCAGGCGGGAGCAAGGGCACAGGGGTAGAGGGCGCCCGACACAGACCCAAAACCCCGAAGGTCCAGTGGGCTGCTTCCATGTCTTTCTTTTTGAGGAGGCTTCCCTTTTAATTCCGCTACCAACGAGGTTTTGGACAAAGTAAACACGAACTAAAAACAAGGATGCAATGAAGCCCTTGGCTGTTGAAAAAGCTGTTAGGCTAGGAACGTAGCGCTGCAAGTGCACTTTGAGCAACCCGGAAGAAAAACCGTCCCAGGCAGCGCGACATCCGTATTGGAAGTCAGAATGCAATTGGGTTATCTCGCCGCTAACTTAAGGAGTCAAAGTGTTTGCCCAGCAGGCAACAAGCAGAAGGGGGCAGAGCCGTGACCGCAAAGAATTACGAACCCCTAAGTGGTACTGACACCTTTGCAGGCTCAACTTGGAGAAGCATCCGGGTCCTGAACACGACACCACGATGCGTGTGCAATGAAAATGGCTCCGGGCAAGCAGGATTTGCCTCTGCTTGAGAATGTACAATTTGTTGACACCTTGATTCATACGTTTTTCCTTTGGACCTTGAACCGAGGCACACGGAAGGCATTCAGAGCAGTGTGAAGTTTGATTCCTTGGCGATTCAGACCGCCCACAAGCAGGCCCAGAAGCGGCCAAAGCTATGTCGCTATGAGTCATGTCGCATGGGAGTCAGGGCAGATATGCAGATATGGGGCGCAGACCGGGACAGACATGGAGACCTGGACCTCCAAGAATCCCTTCCATGAAGCTTCAAAGAACCTTTCCTGGGAGTGTCTTCGGGGGCTTTTGCTCCTAGCCCGAGGCTGCCATGCAGCAACGATCGCAGCAGCTTCTTGGAAAGCAGATTTGTCACCAGCGACTTCGGTTAGATGGAGAACTTAGTGCCGGGCAAGCAACATGTTCCACATTTTGCGGATCTTTGCTAGTGGAACGTCAGGGGTCGCTTCTGCAAAAAAAAACAACATGAGTTTCCTTTGGGTGGAGTGAAATCATGATGGTTAAGAAGGGCTTATAGAGAGCCACAGCCAACGGCCTGACAGATGACCCCCGGCCCTAGTATCACAGGGCCACCCAATTATGCAGCGTTTCGCCAGAATTGCATGCGCTGTTGTACATCCAGCTTTTGCCCTCCAGATTGACCAATACACCGGTGCAAGTGATCGCTGCAGAGACCGGAGACCGGATGCTGCGCCGAGGCTACAGGCGCAGCTGGCGCAACAGGCCGAGCTTCAGTGGCAGCAACAGCAGCAACAGATGCAAATGCACATGCAGATGCAGCCACAGCAGCAATTCATGCAGCCACAGCAGTTCATGCAGCCACAGCAACAACAGTTCATGCAGCAGCCACAGCAACAACAGTTCATGCAGCAGCCGCAGCAATCGCAGTTCATGCAACAGCAGCACCAGCAGCCGTGCATGCAGCAGCAATTCCTGCAGCCAAATCTGCAGCAACAGCAGTTCATGCAGCAGAACCCGCAGCAGTACCAGCAGCAGATGTTGCTTCAGCAACAGCAGCAGTACATGCCGCAGGACCCGCAGTACCAGCAGCAGATGCTGCTTCAGCAGCAACTGCAGCAACAGCAAATGCTTCTTCAACAGCAGTCTCAGCACGGGCCTCAGGACATTTGATTTGCTTGTCATGTGCTTCAACTTGCAGACAGGCGTGCGCTACTGCAGCTCAACTTTGTCCTTTCAGCGGATGTCACTTTCACGTTTCAAGAGTGCACCAATTCAATTCCGCAGGAGAACGGCACTCTCCTCGTGTTTTCACAATTCCTGCAGAAAACTGCACTGGAATCACGAAGTAGTCATGGAAGTTAACTTTCTTTGGATCCCCTCCTACCAGCAGTGCAAGGCGGAACGTGTGTTGCCATGTATGTGAACCCCTGGCACGATCCCCGATGGCTATTGGTTAACTAAGGGATCCAACATCTCCTAGATTGACGGCTATGCCGCCCTTGAATTCCAAACACTGGATCGACGAAATCCATTTCGCACCACAGAAGAAACCCTGGAATGATTCCGTTACCTGTAAATACCGGCAAACTATGGCTTTCTATGGTTTCAAAGCGGTGCACGGTTTCCTCCATCCACATGGAAGTATAGAATCAACCTTTGATCCGGGCTGACTCTTTCACTGAGGCCGATGATGTCGATGAGCTCTTAGTTTCCAGGCCGAGCTTCCTGATCTGCTTTGGGCCACTTCAAACATCACTCGTGCCACGGTCAAGGGACACCTTTACTTGAGGTTGGCTTGGACGGTCATCAATTGTTCGATGGGAGATTTAGAAGCACAAGCGTTCCGAAAGAGATTCATCACCATCCCCCACACAAATATTAATATTTGTTGACCATGTTGGCTGTGAATTTGCTGAGTTTCCCCTTGGCTAATGCAGGTCGAAACAAAGGCAGCCCCGACCTGAAACGACCTGTTTGGATTTGACGCGGGAGTAGTCAAGTCCGCGTTTGTTTCTTGGCCCCCGATTTTCGGGCAACCTGTGTTTTTTGTTGGCTTGCTTGAACGCCATAGGGCTTGAGGGGTACAATCCCAGTCCAGCACCATGTTTGGGTTTGTCTTAAGATAGGGGAACTCGTTTCCTGCAAAGAAGCGACACACAGGGCCCCCTGAATCTACAACACACTTGTTTTCTTGGGTTGGCAGCGGTCCCTTCAAGAAGTCAAGAAGGGCGGGCTTTTCCCCCTGACAAGAGACCGAAATCCCACCAAGCAAACAGAGAATTGAGAATGCCCCCGTAAAGTGTAAGCACCGATTTTGTCCCAGGGCGGTGTGCCCCAAACGGGGTGGCAGAAGGACTCTGGTTGCCACGCGGCCTGGGTTGTGAGTCCTCTTCGCGTTCGGATCTCAAGCCGGAAGCTGTTGCTTAGTCATGGGATGTTCGGCCCCCTAAAGGCTGCACACGACATGTGACATGACCAGTACTTCAATGTGGCTGTCGGTCTAAAATGGGTACCCAAAATGGCTTGCCCTGGAAAATGGAACCAAGGACACAAACCTGTGGTCCCCTGGTGGTTAAATTTTGACCCATACCAATGTGGCACGTTACAGATCTGCCGCGCCAGGCGGACCTTTCTGCGCTCAAGCGTTGAGGGCGCTCGCTTCGCGCGGAAATACGGCAGGTGAGTAGAAAGAGGTCATTGGAACTTCCAGAGTTCCCCTTGAGTAGTTTTAAAACCAAAGAAAACAACCAAAAAACATTTGTCTCCAACAAGGTTAGCATGAAGAAATTGTTGTTACACGTGGGCTCACCCGGGGTCCAGGTCTTGTTTTCACTCGCCAGAAAAGAAATGCAAGAGCTTCAAAATGCAAGCTGTGCTTGGAAACTCTTCGGGGGAAGAAAGTGGCCTTTGCCCCTGTTGTACTGAGGCCCTCAAGCGGCAACGGGTTTGCTTGACACTTCAGATTTAGGGCCTATATAAGACCTCAAGTGTTGAGCGATAGAAGTGGAGAGGTGTTGATTTCAAGTGACTGGCTCCAGACGGGTTGACTCCAAGTTCCATGTCCGATGCTGACCACCTGACCCTGTCAATAGAAATGTGGTGCCACCTGGCAACAGGGTGGGCGATGCATCTAGAAGCTTGGCATCACAGACGCGGTCCACTGGTGGCGTATCCCTGCCGAAAGTAAAAGGGATGTTGCAACGCTGTTCAGTTAGCGACTCAAGGTTCCACAACTGCATCACTCAAAAGAGCCGCCAATTTGGGGCAAAGTGGTCCCTGGGAGAGTCTTGTTTCCATGCTGCCTTCTGTGGCAGCGTCCATGATGACAAACAGCCACTCGCCACTCCTAGATTAACGGCTTTGCCATGCTATGCCGCTCCGACACACAATTTCACAAGCCGATGGACGAAAAGTGCTGCCTGCGATTTGGGGGTGGAACCTGGGCTGGAACCTCTGCGCAGCGCCGCATTGAGTTTCATTTCATATTCGAGTGTTGGCATGGCTGTACACAACATGATGACATGACGTGAAGCAGGGCCCTTTTTGTGAAACATGCCAGGACTCAGCAGACAGGTCAGAGAACAAGGGCACGATTTCTCCAAAAGCAATAGCTGCACAAGAAATTCCAGGCATGGCGATCCATGAGCCCCACAAACCTCTTGGGGAGAAACTGGGATCGGTGTGTTGGGGAGAGGGCTTGTGGCAAGGTTTTCCGAGTTGGCCTGTTTGCTCGCAGCATTTCCAGCTCAGCTTCCTCACGCCCCAAGACGTGCTTTGGCACGGCTCGCTTTTCATCCAGCCATGGGCATCTCGGAAGTCACCGTGGGCGACATGATCCCCTCGAAGCCAGAGGCATTTCCCAGTCCCATGTACCGCTGAGGTAGCCACATGTTCTCCCTTGGTTATCCCAGCCCACCATGGTGAAGAATCGCTTGGCCAAGGGTGAATGGAGTCACTCAGTTGGCCAAGAGTCCAAAGCAAGGGCACGTGCACTCAAACTCGTGCTTCGTCAGACTAAGCACAAAAAGCAGCCCTAGAACCGGAAAGGCGTTCTTGTTTTTCGCGGTTTGCTTGTCTTGTGTGATAGATTGCGGCCAAATTCAGAAAGAACTTGACCTTTTGTTTCCCTTTTTGTTGCCTTGTTGGCGGTCTTTTTGACAATGCCGAAACAAGTAGTTCCCATGGTGCCCTATGCATGCCACATCTTTTTGAAACAGGAAATGCAAAGGAAGACTTGCGGCAAACCCTCTTGCCAAAAGTTTCGGGCTCCTGAATGTCTGGGTGTTCTACGCTTCTTGTCTCCTTGTGTTTTACTCCAAGCTGCTACAGTAGATGGCGCAATGGCGCGAGTTGCTCGGGAAGTTGCCAAACAGTTAGTACGGCCCCTTCAAAGTATGAGGCCGTTCCCTTCAAACATTACGGGTGTCCCCTCGAGAACTACGGCCGTTCCCTTGAGAATTACGGCCTTCCCCCGAGAGTGAAGGTCAACCCCACCAAACCAACAGAATCGCAGCCGACCGTATTGAAAGTGCACACAACTGGCGGTCAACTACTTTCTCTTTTTTTTGGGGGGGGGGGCATTTCAGAACTCAGAACGGAAAGGCTGCCCCCCCCCCCCCCCGCCCATCGTGCTGGTTGGGAGAAGGGGGCTTTAAAGCATGAAGATGCAAACCAAGTAAGCATTGCCTTGGAAAGACTCCGGGCCGCGCCTTTGAGAATTGTCGTGAGAAGAAATCTCTGTCAAACTTGGAAGTCAGCCCAGGTGGCATCAACAGCGGAACCCGGAGCCACTCTTAACCCCGCTTGGACCCTCCGGAACTCAGCAAGCGCTCCATGGAACCTTGCGGAACCCCGGCTCCGAGCTGCTCCGGACGGAGCTGGTTTGGGCAAACGGCCCCCATAGCTTTTCCCTTGCTTTTCCGAAGCACTGCAAAAATGCAGCTTTCTGAAATACCAGGCTGTTAATTGGGTTGCAGTAATTCGCGTCTCAGACAGCGCTGGGCGTGCAACCAGCAGAGCCATTTGGAGACTTTTCATGTCTGACTTGTCCAACTCGAGGTCGGCGTTTCCGAAAATTTGTGTGGTCCCCCCTGAAACCGGCACGTGTCCTGATTTAATTGCATTTCCTTTGAAGATCCGAAAGCGGCCGCCGGGAGTCACCAAATGGAGAAAAAAAAAACTATTGTGCGCTTGTTTTGCCATGGGCAGCAGGCAACTAGGATGAAGGGTCTCGCTGGGGGCTTTTCCGTGCCAGAAGCGATGCTGCGCGATGTGCGGCTGCATTTCCTTCCTGATCATCTTCATCCTGTTCCTCACGTCCTTTCAGCAGGCGCCGTGCACCAAAATACCGCAATAGAAGGCCATTTCCATGAGAGAGCCTCCTGATAGAGAACGGGGGTCATATTGAACAGGGGTAGGAGATTGCAGTGCCACAGGTCATCCTGCACAGTCACCTGGTCAAAACCGCGTTTTGAATGGCTGTTTTCTTTCTAGATGTATCAATACGTGCGTTTTTTTTTTTTGTAAGCAAGAAGGCATCAAAGGAGTTGCACGCTAGGTGAATCGCTTGAACGCCGGCTTGCTGCGCAACGGCTTCACCGGGGAGGTGAACTTGGAACGTTCGGAGCCCCGGGCGATCGCCGCAAGCAACGGATCGCTTCCCTTAAGGGACATCGACCGGATCTTTTGGGAGAACCCCCAGCTTCCATGATTAACAAATCAGGTTCCGAAGGTTCCTCGGCTCTCTGAAGCGAACTTTTGTGTTTTTTCTGTACTGTTCCACGTTTCGTCATCCCAAAACTTCCCTTTGCTCAAGTTGTGATTACTTTTGTTTTGTTTAAAATGGCATTAAAGGGAATCTATCACTACCGGAAATACATTCTTTTTCCCAGGGGGATTCCGGGCTTAAGCAAATGGCAGAAAAGGTTTCGAACCTCGAATTCCCAGGTCCTACGCAAGGGAGTTTCCATGTGCTAGGCCACTGAGGCCAGCGCTTTTGAAGTTTGACCAGATCAGCACGGGGTTCCTCAACTCAGACGCCGTCGGAGAACCCCGCAAAAGGGACCCCCCCTTTTGGGGTTCCGTGTTAATCCTGAGCTGACTGGTTCCTTTTTCCCAGGGGGGGGTAGCATTAAAGAGGGTCCAACACTACTCTGGGGTAAAACCTGCCAAGCCTCAGGGTCGCACTGGGGATGCCTTCTTAGCACCAGGTGGGCCGTGCCACGTGGCTTCGGTAGGTTTTGCGGGGCTGCGAACCCCATATCCACGAAAGGCTCAGAAACGTGCGCCAGGGTGTTCCAAAGTCCCTCAAGTTTATTGCGTCAGTGTCCCAAGAAAGTTTAAAACATACTAGAGTTGCGCGCTGACGTATCTGCAAAATCCCGTAAATTCATTTTGACAAGAGGCGTCCCAGAGGACCTGTGGTTTGTCCCATGCCAACTTTTTCCGAAGAAGGCATTTCAGGCACGCAAGCTGCAGTTGAGCAACAAGCACACCTTCAAACCACGGGGCTCCGTGAACCAAAGGGCCTTTCGGTTCAGCCCAGGCTCGTACCTGCCGGGCCGCATGGGCCTCAGGAAAAAGGAGTTCCAACGGACAGAGAGGTTTCTGTTGACTGCAAAAACAAACCTAGGAAACCAGTAGTGCCCTTTTACCGTTTCTTTTTTGTGGGAGGGTTCCCCTACTAAAATAGACTACACAACAAAAGAGTACCCTTATTCTAACCTCATTGTTATCTTTCTTAAGTGAAAGCCCGATGGAACCTTTCGTCTCCCAAAGCCCTCTCGTCAGCTGCCATTGGGATGCTATAGTTCAGTTTGTGGGCCGTGTTGGTGATTGCCCCTACCGAAGCGGTGTCCCTGCGAAAGCGGTGTCCCTACAGAAGCGGTGTCCACAACGACCTGATGTGCTCAGACTTGGTTCGAGGGGTTTCAGAAGTAGCGAAAAAAGGCCGCTCGGCACAGCCACACACATCCTCAGCATAAAACAAACAAAGTGCCTGAAGCAGAAACAAGCAACACCCTTCAACTCAGTGGAAGCCTGAGTCTGGAGCTGGATTCAGATGTTGATGTGTGGTTTGTGCCTAATCTGCAGCTTTCACGAAACACAAAGAACACGCAAAGACACACATCAAGCACACAAACTGAAAAGCAACTCTGCCCCCAGACATCGAAGAACACAGGGCTGCAGGGGCTGAGTTGTTTGTTGTTCCGCGTTTGCTTTGTGAAAAATGCAGGTTTCCTTCCCAGCCAAACCCCTGCCCGAAAGCTTAGAAGAAAGGGACACAAGCAACAACTCAGCTCATGGCTCAGCCTGCCGGGTTCCCGGCTAAGCTGTTCATAGTGGTTCTTGAGTTTTGTTTATATTTGCGCCCGAGAATTGTTTTGTCCATTCAACTTCGGATTTCGGAGGTGAGTTTCTGGACAGTTCTGGATTTGAGCTGAGTTCTGCGGTTGGTTGTGCATTTGTGAAACCTTTGTAATCATTTGGACGAGATCGGGTCATAGGCGCATACGTTGCAACAGAACCTCAAAACCGTGACCAAGCCACAAGGGTCGAAATTTGGCATTGTCTCCTCTTGTTGTCCATTGTTTTCCATTTCCAGGACCCGGCTTTCAACCCTTACACGGTCGGAGCGCCCTTGGAGGGACTGTTCAACCCATCAACAATGCCAACGTTGCTCGCCTTTGGGGTCCTTTGGCATTGTTCGCATGGCGGGCATTTTACTCGGAACATGATTGGCGGACATAAATCCCCAGAGGATGTCCACCTACGGATTGCCTTTGTGTCCACCTCACGCTTGGGGTTGGGTCCCTAAGAGCGTTGCTGGACGCCAAACATCAGCTGGTAGGAGAGCGAATCATCCCCCCGCAAAGCGGATCAAGGACTATCACGGCGAGATGTCACGTTTCGACGGGTTGTGCCTTGGGTTCTCAAGCGGTGTCAACTCTGCACTATGGATGTTGATTAGGGCCTTGGTTTTGTTGTTCCCTTAGCCTCGGCCTGTATTTGAAAAACGGCATTAGACGACAGAAGCTGGACACTGATGTCGGTCAATCCCTGAGGCTACTTCGTGGGCTTCTGGAACGAATTCATGCATTTCCCCACCACGCTCAACACCATCGAGCCTCGTCCATCCGAAAGGCATCGGCAGTAGTCGGGAGACTTGGGGCCTGAAGAAGAACGTCTTGCCAGATTCCGGGGTGAAGTGAGGTCAGGGATGGCAATTGGCATTTCTGCTTCGTTGGCAAGGCCAGGTTGATCAGCATGCTGATGCCGACTTTCCTTTCGGATCCCATTTGGCGTTCCTTTGCTCTCCTACAGGTCAAATATGGAAAGTGTTGCTGCATTTCTTATGTTGTGTTTGCGGTGTTGCCCCGCTCAACTTGTTCACCAAGACTTCCTGCTCCCTGAGCCATTCCCTGAATGGCTTGGCCCTTGAAATTCTTCACAAGGCAATGTATGCGTTGCCTCACGAAGTGGTTGACCTTTTGGATGCACCGGCCGAGGGATAGGATTCCATTGGGATGCCGAACTTCCTGAAAAGTCGGCAACAGTTGAGCAGCGCCATAAACCCTGACAATACAAAGTAGTAAAGGGCGGTGTCCTATAGAGTCCCCGCGAAAGCCAAAACGCAGGTCGCGAAAGCTTGCGAAGGTTTATCGCGAAAGTAACCAAAGAAGGTCCGCGAAAGCAAAACATGGGGCCGCGAAAGCATCGCGAACGGGTCCGCGCAAGCAAGTTCATAGGACCGCTTTTTACACAAGAGTATTTGGCACGGCTCAGTTGACAATTGAGTGGTTCTTTTTAACAGAAGGGGCCGCCTTGCACCATGGCCAAAAAAAAGAACGAGAAAAACACAGAACAACTAAAGACGAAGACCCCAACCTCCTCACATGTTGTTTAAACCCAAGTGGCCCGCAACGCCAGAGTACCGGGTGCTGAGGAGTTCGCAGATGAGGCAGTGGAGGAGGGTGTGCAGCAGCTGGGCAAGCTCCGGCCCGGAGCCTCATGGTCCGCTGATCCAGCAGCTTTTCTGTTAGATTGGGTTTAACCAGACCAGCTAACCAACCAGCCAGGCAACCAACAAGCCAAACCAAACAAAGCAAAGCAAGACCAACCAGACCCTTTTCGCCTCCACAATGCAAGGATGAAGTTGTTTCAAGAGAGCCTGACCTCCAGCGGATTGCTCCCTTTTCTCAACTCGCAGAGGGGGGGTGCCTGAAAATATCAACTGCTAAAAAGGGGAGGCCTTGAGTTCCCGTCACTGAAGGTCAGGGGTCCCTTGACCTCATTTCAAAGATCAGTTCGGCATGCCTGGGACAAGCCGTGTTTGTTTTCAAAGGTTAGTCTAAGCAGGACAACCCTTGGGCCGAGACTCGACCCTAGTCGGTCTTCCCTTTTTCCTTGTTTTTTTGGCGGTCCCTTGCGGTAATTAATGGTAATTACAATCATCCCAAAAGTAAACACTTCTTCTCCTAGAGGGGTCCTGGGCAACTGGGCCAAACAGATGTTTTTGCAGCCCCCCAAACCTTGAAAGGGAATGATGAGGTTGCTGGCTCCAACCAGTGGATTGCCGGTTCGTGGAGGGGCCCCCCAACAAAGGCGCTTCTCGTTTCACTTGTTGCCAGGGTCCTGAAGAGGGAGTGCGTTGTTTGATTTATTTGTTTCTGGGCTGCGGAAATAGTTGGGAGATGAAAGTGAGACCAACCACAACAGGCTCAACTCGCTTCGAATTCCACGAAGAGTATCCATGGAGAAGCTTGCGGCACCTGAGTGTGTGCGTGTGTGAATTGATCGACTTATATACATACAGGCAGACAGACAGACAGAGAGATAGATGCATGTATAGGCAGGTAGATAGACAAGCAGACGGATAGGTAGAGATACATACCAGACTGGCAGCTGATGGGGCCATGGAATTGCTGAGGTCTCGTGACAAGGACGGCAAGCAGATTTGGTTGGACGTGTCCGTGCAGCAACTTGGCTATGAGCGACCAGAACGTACATTCAGGCATGGCTTGGGGGGGCAAGAATCTACTTCGCGGTTGAAACGGGCAGCTGGCAGCTAGCTGCAGGCCCAACTGCTTTTGACCAACTGCCATTCCGCGCTTGGGCGGTACTTGGGTGGTCTTTAGTAGGGTGTGACTGGGAAGGTCCCCCAATCGCCCCATGGTGTTATCTTCTTTGTGCTGCAGTCCTTAGTCCTTTGCCTTGCCCTGAAACTGGCCCCATTATTTTACCATGATCAAAGTCACCCCCCCACCCCAGTGTTAGGTTAAAGGGAAACACCCCATTTGCTGACATTGACGATCACTAGAAACAGTCAAAATAATGGCCCTCCGACACATCAAACGGGCAAGGTATTTCCACTAGGCCATTGAATAGACCTATGCTTGGTGGACATAAATAGGTGCGCATTTTAAAAGCGTTAAAAGGGGAGCCTTTGGTGAACATTACTCTCCACCAGCCCACGTCTGAGGTACCGCATCTATCCGAATGAGCTGCCGCAGATCTATAGGCTGTTGTGTGGGGGGGGGGGGGGGCCTGGTGACCCTAGAAACCAACTACAAGCCACTGCAAAATAGTGGCATTATGAGTTTCAAGGAGTACTCCTTTTAATGATGTGTATAGGTATAAAGACCCAATACGCTACTTGTATTTCGGCTCAAGGAAAAGGTGCGCTCCGCAGTGCACCCGAGCCTAAGTAATCGAGTTTTCATGGTAGCGAGTGAGCCTGATCTACTGTACCTGAGCGAGCAGGTCGGCGGTCCATCTGGACCGGAAAGATCGGGGACAAGGGCACGGGCAAGTACAAGGGCAAGAAGGGCAAGGACAGGGGCAATAAGGGCAGGAAAGATCCACCGGAGCCTCCGTGGAGGAGGTCCAGCGGCAAAGGAAAAGCCGCTGGAGCGGGCGCTGAGCCCGCGGCCCCTGAGCCAGAGGAGCCAGAGGAGCCGGAAGAACCGGAAGAACCGGAAGAACCAGAACCTGCCTTGGCGGAGGAGGAGCCCGAGATCCGAGCTCCCTCGCCTTCGCGGAGGCCGATTGGAGCCCAGAAGAGGAGGCTCAACCGGCGAGTAGCCGGGGGCCGGACGCAAGTCCGGAAAGGGAGATCGTGTACACTGCTGAGGACAAGAAGCAGGATCTCCCGACTGAGTCGCAGGCCAAGGAGAGCGACTGGGGGCCCTGGCAATCGGCGCGAAGGATCGTGCCTCGGGAGCCAAGCTACCCGCCACCGCAAAGGCCCCAGCGCAAGGAGCTTTTCACCAGGACCCAGAAAGGGTGGAAAGACCATCGGCGGTCGCAGGAAGCCCGCCATTATTGGATCCTCAAAGGCCTCATCAAGCTTGCGAATAAGAAAGGGGAAAAGGTGCCCAGAGAGGTTGAGATTGAGGTCCAGCAGCTCAATAAGAGGAGGAGCACATTTCCAGGAGAAAGGCCCTGGAAGAGACAGCGCCAGGCCAAGGCAAGCTCAGCTGTGCCAAAGACCCCACCGAAAGCCCCTATTACGCCACCTAAGGCTGCGAGTTCACCTAAGGATCTTGGACTCGGACGAAAGTCTGCACCGGCTGGTCCAGCCGAGGTTCTCTCTGAGGTAGAGAGAGCAGCAAAGGCCCTTGGACGAAAGATCGCAGCCACCTGAGACTGCCCTCGCGAGCAACTATCGACTGCGGAGGGCGGCCGTCTCGGAGACCCTTTTCTTGACAAAGGCGGTGCTGGGTCTCGACGGCTTGAGTGTGCCGCGCAGCTCGTGCGACGAGCGGAACACCTCAGCGCGGCCAGCTATCCTGGCCCGGGCGGCTGCTCTGTTTGCGGGAGTAGGGGACTCGGTATTGGGACCCTCGCCAAAGCTCCCGGAGATTTGGAAGAGCCCGCCGCCGAATACCAAGGCACCGGCGGTACAGCCGAAGGAGCCCTCCAAGCCAAAGGCAAGCAAGCCTAAGGAGGAGCCGCCAAAGAAAGAGAAGGAGGAGCCGTCAAAGAAAGAGAAGGAGGAGCAGCCAAAGAAAGAGAAGGAGGAGTCGCAAAAGAAGGAGAAGGAGGAGCCGCAGAAGAAGAAGGTGAAGAACGAGCCAAGGAGGAGACCCAAGTGATCTTGAAGGAGGCCCCGGCGGTGCCGAAGGTGGTGTTGGTCCCGAAGCCAAAGCATCCACCGAAGCAGCCACCACCACCGCCATCTCCAACTCTGAGTGAGGCCAGCGTGCATTTTCACGATCGGGCTGAGCCTGACTCGGGATCTTAAACGTATTATGCAGAGGAAGAGGAGTCCAAATCGGACTGACCTCCCGGTGCGTGGCACTGGACTTTGGGAATGGAGGAACAAATCAGAGAGTTGCAGGCAGCAGTAGAGAGGTTGGCACAAGAGAACCAGGTTCTTAGACAGGGCCAGGCTAGTGTGGTTACACTGGCCGAGAATGTAGGAAGACTGGCCAACAGCGTCGGAAAGTCTTGATAGATACCAAAGGCATTGGTAGACCTGAGGTTTTCCCAAACGAAGATGGCAGTTTCCGGAGATGGGCACGGTCAGTGGTCAATTTAACAACCGCAATCTTTGGGTCAAGTTTCCAACAGATCCTTGAATGGGTTGTAGATCAGGATGAGGAAGTGACAGTAGAAAAGGTAGAGGCAGAGCATGGAGGCGAGCTTGGCATGGGGGGACTAGACGACAAGGCAGAGCAGTTTTTCCGCTTGCTGTCGTCCCTCACCACTCACGAGTCCGAGGACTTGGTCATCAACACTAAGAACGGGTTTGAAGCATGGCGACGATTGAACCGGACGTGTTAAAACATGGGATTCAGTGAGACCAGCCATAGAGCAGTTGGATGACCTCATGCGCAGGTATGAAGCCAGAAGAAATGAGCAAGGGAACCGGGAGACCCTATCAGAGGATATCAAGTGCACTTCCTTGGAGTTGCTCGTTCCAGCAGACATAGAGCGACACCTGATCCTGAACAAAAGCAGATTGACCACTTACCAAGATATGAGGCAAGAAATAGAGGTGCTCATCGAAACGGTTGTTGGAGCCAAGGGCAAAATCCACAGACCCGGGTCCGGCCCGGCATCGGGTTCCGGACAAGGCCCAGCTCCTATGGACGTCGACGCCCTCTCGAAGGTTCTCAACTCTCTGGTCAAAGGAGGCTCGAAAGGAGGCAAAGGCAAGGGAAAGGATAAAGGTGGTAACAAAGGCAAGGGAAAAGGTAAGGACAGCAAAGGCAAAGGAAAAGGCAGTGGATCCGGTAACTCTGGAATTACCGGTGCTTGCTTCAACTGTGGAAAGACCGGCCACAAGGCGGCCGAGTGTTGGAGTAAGAAGAAAGACGGAGGAAAAGGTTCCAAAGGTGGAGGCAAGTCAGGTTCCAAGCACAAGCATGCAGCCGGATTTGAGGACGCCATCCACGAAGCCGATGAAGACCAAGAAGATCAGCCGGAGGCCGAAATGGGCATGTTCGAGCTGGGTGCTTTCACCCAGGAAGAACCCTCAAAGGAGTTCAAGTGGGTTAGGTTCAACCTGGATACGGGGGCAGCCCAGACAGCAATTCCAGTAGAATGGAAGATACACATCCCCACCAAAGAGGGAACCCAAATGATGTTCAAAACAGCGTCAGGCGAACTGGTCCCTGGGACCGGAACTGGGACCTTTGCAGGCCGCAGTGAAGCAGGTTCCAAATGCACAGTAACAGGCCCGTTCACACCGGTTCACAAACCGCTGGCTTCGGCGTACAAATGCCTTAAGCATGGAAGGATTGCTGTTCTTGACCAACATGGTGGAAAGTTGATTCCAGCAGACTCAGCGGTAGGCAGGAAGGCTCAAAATTTGCTCAGTAAGCCCAGTAAAGCCCAGGAGAAGACGTGGTTGCCCGTGTATCAAGAGAAAGGAGTTTACAACTTCTATTTGGACTCGACTTCGGGTTTTGGACGGCAGTCCAAGGAGACGTAAGTCCGGCCAAGACACTTGCAGCGGCAGATGATGCCGCAGGTGCCGGACAAGGTGAGAGCCCGGAGGCACCAGCGGGCCGACCCGCAGATGTGCCCGAGGGAGATGAGATGAATGAGAGCGGCGAGATTGCGCCGCCAGCGCTTGTGAGAGCGCCAGAGGGCCCTTCGAGGGCCGAGGTTGCGGAGCATGAGGCTACAGGTCACGTGCAGTACCGCAACTGGCGTTGGCATTGTCTTGCCGGCAGAGGATTGGGTCAGCAGCATCGCTCACGACCCGAAGAGGACAAGGCGAGTGATGAGCTCGCGACAATCTCGTGCGACTACACATGGATGACGCGAGATGGAAAGGAGGATGGGAAGACTAAGCCTACTATCCTGGTGATCCGAGACAGTCGGACACTGGCCGCTGCGGCCACCTTCGTGCACGCAAAAGGACCGACGCCATATGCGGTCAAATTCATGGCGAACTTTATACAGCATCTTGGTTACCGTCGTGCAGTCTTCAAGAGTAATGGTGAGCATTCGATCGTTGCCCTGAAGGAGCAGGCGGCCAAGGAAGCAGGTGTGGAGAATGTCCCACACGAGTCGCCGGTGGCTGACCACCGGGCGAATGGCGCAATCGAGAATTTGTGCCGAGAAATCAAGAGGCAGGTGCGAGTCCTGCGACCCTCACTTGAGGAGAAGTTGGGTCGAATTCTCAAGGAAGTTGACCCGGTGCTGTCTTGGTTTCCAAGACACTCAGCAGACCTGATTTGCAGGTACAAGAGGGGTGTCGATGGGAAGACACCAGAGCAGAGGCGTAGCGGCAAGCAATGAAAAAAGCCCGCTATTGCCATTGGAGAGCGCCTCTACTATCGTGAGGTAGGTGAGGGCGCTAGGCCGTTGAAGGAAGGCCGGTATATAGGTCACCACGGGAGGACCGGCACTTTGCTGGTTGTGACACCAGAAGGAGTGAAGCGAGGTACAGGAGTTCGTCGTCTTCCGGAGGATGGGAGAGCCTGAAAGGCTACCCCTGGGAGGTTTCGGTGAGAGCCTGGGACCCCAGCCCAAGGAGTAGAGGATCTGCTGGTCAGTGAGGACCGGGTTGAGGTACCACCTCAGATCGTGCCAGTCATGGCACCACCGCAGCAGCGACGGATCTACATCCGTGGACAAGTACAAACCTACAGATGGATGCCCAGGGTGCACATGTGTGTTGCTGGGAGAATCCACGCAGCTTCCGCACACGGAGGCGTGCAGAGCCCGAATCGTTGGGCTCATGATGGACGACGAGCAAGGACGACGTCGAATCGAAGAACACAAGAGGAAACAAAGGAGACAGAAGTGGAAAAAGATCTCCCAGCCCAGGAGGCTATGGGAGAGCCGGCCGTTGGGGCCGGGGCAGGAGCAGGACAGGTGATGGAGTATGAAGAGGACCCAGTGAAAAGAGCAGAGCTAAAGAGAGCTGCAGCAGAACCTTCAGCATCCAGCAGCCCGAAGAGCAAGGCGCCCAGGAGGTGGAGATCAATGCAGTGGACTTGGAGCAGATCACCAAGCTTTGCGTGGAGATGGGAGCAGTAGACATCATGGAGATCTACAGCCCGAAGAGGTTCGCAGCCCAAGCCGAGCACTATGGCTTGAGGCCAGGTTTCGCAGTGGACCTGGAAGAGCAGAAGCCGGACGGAACCTACTGGGATCTCAGTAGGGAAGAAGACGTCCGAGAGCTTGACAAGTACGTGGACGAGGTCGAGCCAACATTGCTCGCAGGGAGTCCGCCCTGTGATCAGTTTTCTCAACTGCAGAACATTAACAAATATAGGGTAATTGCGGACAAGAGAAGAGAGAAGATGGACAAAGCTGTAGCACACTTGCATACTGCCCGTAGCTTCTACAGGAAGCAAGTTGAGGCTGGCAGATTCTTTCCGCATGAGACACCGTGGAGTGCCACATCATGGAAGGACCCGGAGGTCCGAGACCTTTCCGAACGATCGAACGTGTATACAGTCCGAGGCCCAATGTGTAGATGGGCTATGGTCGCAATCATCCAGGACTGGCACCACTGTTGCAAGGAGAATGCAGTAGCAAGACAGAGGGGAAGCCTTGGCATAGGCATGTCCACCTGATCGGAGGACTCGCGAGGCCAGCAGCGAGATATCCGCCAGCACTGGTGCGGGCGGTGCTGAGAGCGTTGAGGGACTACCTGGTGGAGAACGGACAATTGAGTGCACTGGACGCAGCTGTTGCAGGTCCAGTTCCTGAGGAATGCTTCGTGACGCCGGAGCGCGTTGAGCAGTACTGGGACGATGTGAATGGTGGATTTCTGCCCCCAGATCGTGCCAGAGAAGCACGCCAACTGGAGCTGGCATATCTTCGGAAACAAGAGGTTTATGAGAAGGTGCCACTTGAGGAGTGTCTTCGAGATACCAACGGGAGAGGCCCAATAACCACCCGTTGGATAGACACAAACAAGGGAGATCCCACCAACCCGAACTTTCGGTCGAAATTGGTGGTCCGGGAAATTAAGGCCCGGAAGAGACCGGAGGAGAGAATCCCTCAGAACATGCTGTTCTCGTCAACGCCACCCTTGGAGGCGATGAGGCTCTTGTGTAGCCTTTGGGCCACAGAGCGGGTATCTCAGCGAGGACGATCTCTTAAGATCGGACTATGGGATATCTCAAATATACATAGAGTTGCCAGAGGAGGACTCAACTCCAGGAATGGTAGGTCGACTAACCAAGTCAATGTACGGAACCCAGGATGCCCCGAACATATGGCAGCAGCATTACACACAGCTGTTGGTCAAAGCGGGATACATCAGGGGAAAGTCGAATGGTTCAGTATTCTACCATCCAACACTGGAAGTGAGAGTGCTTGTGCATGGAGATGATTTCATGGCCTTGGGAGATGCAGACGCGTTGAAGGAGGTAGACGCATTGCTTCGCAGCGCTTACGAGCTGAAATGGCTCGGAACGATTGGAAACGAGGAAGGTGATAGCAAGGAGGTTCACTTTCTCAACAGACTCATTCGTTGTGAATCTACTTGTGCAGCAGCTTGGCATGCAGAATGCCAAGGGAGCAGAGACACCGGACGTGAAGAAGTCCGTAGAGTTGCAGATGCAGGAAGCCAGAAGCCCAGCTTTACCGAAAGACCAGGCTTCGCTGTATCGATCTTGCGTGATGAGGGCCGCATACTTGTCTCAGGACAGGTTGGACATCAGTCATGCTGTGAAGAATCTTGCGAGGAAGATGGTCTCGCCGACAGAGGCATCCTTGCAGGATCTGAAGCGACGGTGTTTGCCAGGCAGGCAAGGCCGAACAAACTCCGGATCCAAGTGGACTCTGATCATGCAGGAGATGCTATGACGAGGAGATCCACTACGGGGATGGTTGCACTGTATGGATTGCATGTGCTGAAGCGCAGCAGCAATGTGCAGTCGACTATTGCTCTTTCGACCGGCGAGTCGGAGTACTACGCCTTGGTCAAAGGAGGTTCAGTGGGTCTTGGCCTTCAGTCGCTCTTGGAGGACTTTGCGGTGGAGACCCAAGTGCTTATCCAATCAGATGCAACTGCAGCAAAAGGTACGGTGCATAGAGCAGGCCTGGGAAAGGCCCGCCACATCCAGACCAGATTTTTGTGGTTGCAGGAGCGGGTGAGCATGGACCACCTTAGGGTAGAGCATGTCCCTGGAAAGGCCAACAGAGCCGATGCTCTAACAAAGAGCATACCAGGTGTACAGATGACAGAAACCATGAAGAGGTGTGGTTATGTTTTCCTGGATCAACGCAGTAAGGGACAACTCAAGCTCTTGGGGAGCTAACCCTGGCCAGACTCCGCTACCGGATTGCTGTGCGAGCGTGTACAGAGCCGCTCTTCCAGCAAGGAGGAGTAATGATGTGTATAAAGACCCAATACGCTACTTGTATTGTGGCTCAAGGAAAAGGTGCGCTCCGCAGTGCACCCGAGCCTAAGTAATCGAGTTTTCACCTTTGGTAAGCGTGTTGTTGCGCCCACACAGTTTGCCTGGATAGGATAGGGATGGGAAGAAGCCAGTGTCGCCTTTCTCTCAATCACAGCGACAAGGGGTTGGTGGTCTGTCATTTTTCTAGTTTTGCGGACCCCTGTTTAACATCGGCAACTCTTGAGGCTTTGAGCAGAAGCAAAAGTACATCTAGCCTCGGTTTCTTCTTCTTTTTCGGAAGGGCGACACTTAGGAGACACCCTGCCAGCTTATGTGCTGTCGACAGCAATGGGATGCGCAAGGACATCATGTGCTGGGGATGCCTGGGCTCACATGTCCTGCTGGTCGACACGCAGTTTCTTGATTGTCAAGTTGCTGCTTGCTTCGCATGGCCCAAGCAGATTGGATTGCCTTTTTGCAAGTAACATAAAAACCTGACAGGGGGGGGGTCCTGGAAGACAATGTTTCTGTTACCGGGACCTCCTGCCAGGTTCCGTGACAATTGGTGGGAAGGTAATTAGGCTTGTTTTATTATCACATGCCTTTGCGTGTGAGGACCCCGTTCTTTGCGGATAAGTCCTCGGGTTAAACAAGAAGAGGTCAACTATGCGAAACGGATTGGGCACGCCTAGTGCACTTAAAGAATTGTGTCATCTGTCCAGTAGGAATTCATTCCCCGCAGCAAGAAGTGACCTCCAAGTTAAACGAACCTTTCTTTTGAAATGGTTCCAGAGGTTGGAGTGTTTCTGTTCCCTCCGCTCAAGCTATCGTCAAAACATTGGCCAAAGCGACGATGCGACAATGCGAAAAGCTGAGTGGAACGACGATTTCATGGCCCGACTGTTGGACCAGGTGACCCGCACTGCAAAACGTGCGACAGGTGTGCACTTGTTGTTTTGGTGGTTTCCTTGGAGATTGGCTCAGAATGGCCTTCAAATGGTTGGTTTCATCTTAGTTTGCTTTTGACCTCTCGCTTGTATACTGACCACGCACAGCTCCCGCAGCGACAGGGGAAGCTGTTATGCCTAGCAAAGCGGGACACAAGTTGGTTTGGTCTCCTTTTGTCTCGCCTTTGCTTGGCCTGATGAGATCTCCGCCCCTTGGCAGTGACCGCCCGCCTTTAGGATGCTTATCAACTCCTTAAAGGGCACAAATTGGTGCTTGAAGAGGTGTGCGTGGATCAGTTCCTCAAAGCGCATGAGCTTGAACTTGTGGGGCCAGAAATAGCGGCTTGAAATGGCTTGAAGCACCCCATGTTGCTTTGCAGCTCTTCTCTTGGCAGGGAGATGACGAAGCTCTACGAAGACGTGTACATCTCGGAGCTGCGGGGTGCCCTGCAGCGGATCACCAACGAGTTCACCGTCGACGAGGCCATAACAAGAGCTTCAGGGGTTGGTTGAAAGGGAAACTAACAGGAAATCAGAATGAGGCTTTTGGTTGTCCACTTTCTGCGAGTGGCGAAGTGGAAGCCCTATATGAGAAGATCATATAGTCATGGGGATGGGAATCCCATCGATATTTTATTTTCCGCAAGCTTGGCCAGGCACACGCCATGTTGATGTTGATGTTCAGGTGAAAAGAATGTGTGCGCAATTTTTGAGGGTACCCCTTTTTGCTGCGCTTTGAAATGGATTCCAAAGCGACGCGCACTAAATTTTCGGGGCCCCCTAACAACAGACACACCCATATGAGAACATTGTTGCAGGATATTGCAGGATGCTTACAGCAAGTTTGCGACACGACGTAGGTGATTGGTGACTGGGGTAGAACTCTGCAGCGCGCGATTCAAGTGGCCAAGCCATCTATGTTTCGGTGAGGGAATGCGTTGATTCCTGATGGGTCAGGATTGCTGGTGCCTGCAAGTCTGCAAGCAAACCAGCTATTCGCACATGTGTATGTAGGAAGTTGCCTCGGCGTTTTGGTGAAAGGCTTCCCCCCTGGGATGGTGATCGCGACTGAAGCGAGGCCCTCAAATGCAACCGCACGAGCATGGCACACAAACAAATCCGAACACAGAATCGAGACACTCTTCCAGGCCTTGCTCCTGATGAAGGTGACCTTGCAAGTTTGGCGGGCCAGGCAATGATTTAGATGGGGCTTTCTGGGCGCAGTCTTTTTTAGACCCCATCCCAGATTCGGCCCGTGGATACGTAACCTGGGAGAGACAAGAAGGCAGGCAAACCATTGAGCCCTGATCCCTTTGACGGCCAAACAAAACAGAGAGTTAAAGCCAGCTGAGAGAACACTGCTTGTTGCCACTGTGTGCTTCGTGTACTGCACGTGCGTGCACACCACAAGTTGAGATGTTCAAGCTGGAGCCACCAAGGTGTACTTTGCGTACTGCACTTACTACACGTGCGCCGAAAAGTTGCGCTTTTCGAGCTGGAGCTGCCAAAGTGTACTTTGTGCACTGTAGGCGTAATTTTAAATAGAAGTTGCCAAAGTGGCTTTGCGTGCTGCACTTGCTACACGTGCGCCGAAAAGTTGCGCTTTTCGAGCTGGAGCTGCTAAAGTGGGTGTACTCCAGGCGTAGGTCGAAACAAATTAGAAGTTGCCAACGTGTACTTTGCGTACTGTGCTTCGTACAAGTCTGCGGAAAAGGTGCGATTTTCGGACTGGAAGAGTCAAAACGTACTTTGCGCACTGCACTTGCTACACGTGCGCGGAAAAGTTGGTATTTCCGAGCTGGAGCTGTCAACTTGCAAGCTGAAAAGTTGCGATCTCGAGGCGTTACAGAAAACAAGCAGCATCGTAAAACAGTACGAGTTAAACACAACGAGAGGCCATCAAACATGAAGAGGTTGCGCCTCAAGTGCTTTTGGTCTCAGACCCTAACAACTTGCAGCTGGCATTCTTTCCGCCCACGGCAGGCATGGAAAGACTACTCCGCTGTGAACCAAAAGATGCTGGACGAGTGCAAGACTGTCCTGCTACCCCGCCATGCCGAGTGTTGCGAAGCTGCACACATCTTGGGCGTTCCATTCGGGCCAAGTTACTACTCGGAAAGTGGCCCTCATCAGGTTTGCTCACCAAAAACCCAGGGAGAACAATGCAGACGTTCAGTTGGTTTGGTTGAACTTTTGGCACGTATGGAGATGCATGGCTGAAGGAACTTGGCCGAAGGACCAGGGATGGCCAAAGCCTGCCGTCTCAAACGCCCCTCCTAAATACTCATGATATGGCGGGCTGCGTTTTCTGCACCTACCACAGCACCATCCCACAGGCATTGCCTGGTTTTTGGGAAGTGGGTGCCTTTTGGGAACAGGTTTCCGGCCAGACAAACTATGCCGCAGAACGGCAAAGTTCCCCGCATCACTGCAAGGTTGCGCAAGCGTGCAACACATCAGAACGCCTACCTTTTTTTGCCACACACACATAACGACAGACAACTGTTGGTCTAAACGACTTTGCTATGGAACGACCCCCTTCCATCCGAGCTGAACGAAAGGCACAGTTGGAAGACCCCGGTTTGTTCTGCATGCGGCCGCTTGTGTGCGTAAAGGAAGGGCCTTCCCAGGCTGACTTCGCCGATTGTTCTTGTGTTTGCGAAAAGGGGGACAAGAAAAAGCTGAGGTGTTCAAAATCAAACTCTCAGCTTTATGTGGCTTCCCTCGTTCTAGTCGCATGATAAACTGGATTGCGAAATGGAATTAGTCATTCAAGCCAAAATTCCATGGATACCTTTGCACCTGTAACCTTGGTGCCGCCTGTAACCTTTGCACCTTTTGAACAAACCTACTGTTTCCTCACAGCCCCTCAAGTGGAGCTTTTGAAGACCCACTTCCCGACTTCCTGACAAGTCCGATCTGTACTCAAATCCCCAAGGTGTCATCGGAGGGTTCTACATATGTCGTATATTTTGTTTAGGGACCCTTTGGTGGACATCATTTGGGGATTTATGTCCACCACTTTTTTGGGGGGTTCAACAATTCAACTTCATAGCCATGTGTTTCCCAAAGGGGCTGCCAAGAACCTCCCATGGCCATGGTCGTTTTTCCCCCGCGCCATCTCTCGAGCCGAGGCTGGGGACTTCAGCTCTGGGGAGTGCGTTTGCAAACGGAGTACGAGAATCAGCTGGTGCGCACACAAGTGCGGAGCCTTCGGCAGCGGGACCTTCACCCCTCGAATTCATGTGATGGGTCGCACCCCAAGGGAGGCCCCGTTTACCATACATGTTCCCTTCGCGCGGAAAAGGCGGATAATCTATGGTGGCTCCGACTTTTTGGCGGATGGGGGTTCCCTTGCCCTCCCAAACTGGCCGGCACAAAGGGTTAAGGGGCCTTGGGGGGCCCTTTGGTTCAATCACTGCCCAAGAAGATAAGCAAGATGAAAATTACAAGGGTCGAAAACAGGTTTGGTCCTTTGGTTCCCTGCATCGGGAGCCACATTTCTACCCTTGTCAGAGTTTGTGGAGAAACCCTCACACAGATTTCAAACCATTCTCGAGTGGTCGAAGCCTTCCCAATTGGGCGAGGGCCTGTTGGACCATCTACCTCAGTTCAAGGAACAGTAACGGCAATTTGTTGCGGACGACTTGGACATGAAGGGCCTTCAAGTTGTTTGTACGTCAATGGAGTTTTGTCGGTGGGATGCAGTCAGCTAGATTCTTTCATACATCTTTGTTTGCCTTCCAGTTCATTAAGTATACTTGATCCATGTTGATTCAATTTCTTTGGATAACTTCCTAAAAAAAAGGAAGCTTTGCCATTCTCCATGTCGGTGGGAAAGCTACGCAGCTGCTCGGAACCAAACCCCTAAGTGCCGGAACCTTGGACCAAGCCGCCGCTGTTGCGCGGCTGGCCACCCATGGAGGCCCTGTCTTTGTTTCAATGTCTAGGCCATTTGGGGCAGGAAGGGGGGGGGGTGTCAACTCTTGAGTATGGCATTAGTCAACCATTGTTTGACGGATATTGCGCGTTCCAGTCACACCTCGTGGCAGTTGAGTTGGCGTGCCTGTCGGGAGTACCGAGAGGTGGCAATGTATTCGGACAATGGACCTTTCCCATTGATTCAATCTGGCAAGGGACGCCACCAACCATAAACCCACGGCCCGGCCCATGTGAATTGTCACGCTCATCATGCAGCGAGGTGTTGTGCCTTCGCTCAAAAAGTCTCCAAGCATCCATTCTGCAGGTTTGCTTCTGTCTGGCAGTTGGCTGGTGGGCTGATTGGTTGGTTGGGGGGCGATTTTGCACTGAGAAGAAAAGCCACAAGCAACCACCTTTTTGGGGCCCTATTTTGACCCAACCCCATTTCGGATTCAGATGGGAAGCTCTGCGCATCCGAGGAAGCAGGCGGAGGAGACCGCATTGGCGACGCAGACTCAAACCGAGTACCGCCAGAAGACTGAAGTCATCCTGGCGGAGTACGCGGGGCCCCAAGAGGTTGGAGAGTCGCATTTTTTTCTCGACTGCTATTGGGTTGGATCTTTAGACTTTAACTTTTGGTTGAAATCATGGTGTTTTCCACGAAACCCCCAAAAAGTTAAACTTTTTGCAGGGGGGTCAACAGCAACCAAGTTTTCAGGTGAGTTTGGTTGAACCTCGATGGCGCTGGTTTGACTTTGATTCCAACCATGTACCAGCACCATGTGCCTTTCCCAATGGGTTGGACAGGCCTCTGTTTGGACCACCCGCGTCGCGTACTCACAACACTCCTACTCGTGTCCCAGAGTGGGCAGCACTTGCGGCCTTTAGGGGCGTTATCCCAAGTCATTGCCCCTCACCAGGCCCGTGCCCAGAGCCCTTCGCCAGTGAAGTCCCAAGTGGCACCGAAAGGTCCAGCAAATCCAGCACATGCCTAGTCTGTCTTTTCAACAGTTGTCCAATTCTTGAGCTGAATCTTCTGCTTTGTTGCTTTGCCAAGTGCGCTCAGTGGTTGGTAGCACCTTCTCAAGCGATCCCCTTTCACAAAGACAAGTTTGAACCGTAACAGGAATGACTGCTGCATCGGTCAGAACAATGGCGAGCTGATTGCGGTGCTTTGTTCGACCGCTGTATGTTTGCAATCGAGTGGCCAATTCAGGTTATGCTCGGAAAGCTCTGTGACATACCGCAAGCAAATTTTACTCAAGAGGATTGAAGCCTCGCTTGTGCATGCAATGTTTGCATTTCATCATGTCAAGCTTTCAGACATGTTGAGTGCCAAGCATGAGTCGCTGAAGGTAGGCTTAAGTACGCATTACTGTTGTGTATGCATATTGTTCAGGAACAACCTCCTTTTGGTTTGATTCTGACAGCACAAGCTGCCAACGCGAAGTGTTGTCCGAGCATGGCTGCAAATGTTGCAAAACAGCCTTTATTCCCTTTTTCTGATGTACTATCGCGATGGCACGCACGGTCAGGCGTGCGGTCACGCAGAGAGTGAGAGTTTCGCCAATGCATTTGTTCGGGTGTCTACCCGTTGCTCGCTCTGAGGTTGCCAACGTGCAGCTTGGCGGTGACAAGGCAGAGACAAGGCGAGATTGGCCACAGGCAAGTAAGAAAGTGACTGTTGTGCAATCTGCGAATTCTATCCCGAGCTCACCTGGGGATAGCACGAGCCCGCGATGCTGTCTCCTCTACTTGTAGAGCGATGTACTTCAGGTTTTGGAACCGTAGGCCCTTGTCGTTGCCAGTGGATGTTTGGTACAGCTGGCTTCTTTCCGCTGAGGCCCAAAATATTTTACGGCCACCCCGAATACGCAACTGGCATCACAGGAATCTGCAGGTATGCTTCTATACTTCGCTCCTAGACAGGAACGCCATCAGTAAGAGATTGGAAGGCTTTCCTCGGGCTTTCTGCTTGTCTTAGGCTCTAAGCGGCTTAGATCTCGCCCTTGCATCAAGTAACGCAAGCTGCGCACAGCTTGAACCCGGGACCCCGCCATGTTATGTGCCGCGAGAGCTTGGTGTCCCGGAGAGACCATTTTGGAAAGAAATTGCTCCAGCAAACCTGAACATTAAACCCGTCTTTTAGCTTTTATTTTTTGATTGCTCTCATGAAGCATCATTCCTTAGAGCGACAACCCAAAGGTGAGGTTGAAATCACCTAAAGGGATGTAAAGGACCTAATTCAGCAGCAACCATTGCGAGCTCACAAAGGGGTTTGCGACCTCGCTGGAGGTTTCCTGAACCATGTCTGCAGAAGGCGTCCGATTCTGAAGACTCCAAAGGCACCTGGCGGTTCACCTGTGGATGGACGAATTCCTGCACAACCCTGAAATGATAACCCCACTGCAAATGCTATGGTTTCTGAGGTGGTGCAGGATTTCGTCCATGCATAGAAGTTGCAGCATAGTTACTTCGTCATCATTGCAGAAGGGTCGGGTTGCTTACTAAGTCTCATTGGAGTGTGTTTGCTTTATTGGTTCATTAGCATTGAACAGGATGGACGGCGTGATTCAATCGTTGCACCGTAAAGCGTTGGGTTGCCCTTGGCTTACTCTGATTGGCCATGGAGGACCGTTCCTCCGCTCCTTGTTGAGTTATCCCGTTGAAGATGGAACCTCAACCAACGAATTCGGTTTTGCTAGCGTCCGGGTCGCCGGTTGCAACTGGGCCGCTTCAGCCAAGGACGGTGATCAACCAGAAGGGCCAAGCAGACAAGCAACGCATCGAACGGGACGCCCTCAGTGCAGCCCAATCCGCCTTGGTGGGAGCGCAGGGCGATGTGTGCCTCGCCTGGAAGGTGACTTTTGCGAATCCTTGTAGCGTGGTCGACGGAGAGACTGTTTGTTTGTCAGCCTTCGCTGGTTTAGACGTTGAGGGAGTCCAGCGTTTGGACTTGTCCAACCTTTCAGCTGGCAGGCATTGTTTTTTTCCGTCATTGGAGTGCAAGCCCCAAGGCACGTCTTTGGGAGCACTTGTGGAAGGATCTCCTTGGGCGCATTTCTTCCTACGGAACCGGCCATTTGAGGGTTGTTCCAAGAGTGAACGGCTCTTTGCGGGATCCCGTGTGGATTCCTTTTGTGACTATCCTTAGGGCACCGGGAGTCCAACATTGGGACTTCGTTTTGAGCACCCCTCAGTTGGTTTCCCGAGCGCGCAATCAGACATTGCTTGAGTCATCGTTTTGTTGATTTGCCGGGTTGGAGTTCCTATTGGCAAGCACGCCTGAGGCAGCTTTAGCTGAGATCTTTGTGCCAGCAATCTGCAGCAAGTTAAACCACGGAAGTTCTAAATGCATCCTTTGCCATAAACCACCAAGTCCCGCGCTTTCGTCCATATCTCCGCTAGCCTACTCTCAGGCTGGGGCGAGCTCCTGCGGTGTAGCCTGACTCCGGGCACCACCCTTTGTTTTTGTTTTCTCAGGCTTTCTTTGACCAAAGCAGAAAAAGGACATGCGAGAGATGCATGGTTCCTTCTGTTTGAGTCTTTCATGTTCCCTTTCTTTGTCTTGTGCTTGTTGTTGTGCTTGTTGTTGTTGGTTTATGGGCAGGCTGTGGAAAGCACATCGCCCTTTGTTTCCCCACCTTAGGAGGTAGGGTGTGTAAAATAGGGTCCCCAACATGCTTTTCCCTTTGGACCAAAGAAGGTATGCTAACAAAGAACTCTGCAATAATACTAAATACCAATCACTATAACAGTAAAAAGAGTTACCAGAAAATGCGAATTATAATGCTGACAAGAATGATACTGGTAATGAAAAGGAATGCGCGGACCTCAGGCTGAAGATCGTCTTCGACACCGTGAAGCTCAACGCCACAGACACCACCACCGAGAAGCTCATGAGCGGCTCAGAGCTGGCGCGGGGCCCCAAACAAAACGCACCGCATGTCAGCCGCATGTCCCTCTTTAAAGTCTTTGGCTTGTAGTGGGTCGCAAAAAGGCCACTGGCACCAAACAGTGCTGATTAAAGGAATGTAAAGGATATCACACATAAACAAGTTGAGTGGTCAGATGTCGGGGTTCAGATGCTTGAAGGACCCCTTCAGCCCTCAGCACCGGCGCTGCATGCTGTTTCGGCTTTTTGCTGCATAGTTGCAACTTGTTTGGAGAGTTGGCTGCGCCATTGGAATCGTCCGGACCCTGTGGCATTGGCTGGCAAGAAGGGGCGCCTTCGATTCTGCGAATTGGCTTTCTTCAAACGAGACGCAGTGGCACCGAACAGTCGAGAAGGTTTCCAAATAGCAGCCTGCTTCTGCGGGTGCTCTTTGATGTTCCGAGAAAATGCCAATGCTTTCACTATGAGTGGATTCCACACATCTGATCAACGCATTGGGGAGTTCAACGAAGCAACCGCCACTTGTGGAGGTCCAAACCCAAGCAAATTGGACCCCCGGTTTTCAAGCATTGCCTTCCCTTTTGGTTCACAGGTTTCTTTGCACAAGGACTCCAGGCTGCAAGGTGTTTGGCAAAACCCTCACCTGAAGTTGTGCGTGAACCTCCTTTGTTTTATCACTGGTCCCTCACCTGGGCGTGTGTACGGCGCCCCTGGCAGGTGAAGTACCAAAATATCCTGATGCTCAAGGAGAAGAAATCCTCGATCCCCGGCGGCATTGCTGCTGCCTTTTTGAGAGCTTTGCTGCTAGGACGTGTTTGTTTTGCAACTCTGGTTTGGAAGCGTCCAACAGTTATATACCCCAGCCGGCGAGAAGTGGTCTTCCGTATTTGTTTATAGCTGCTTCCACTGCCCTCCGAAGAACATGTTCCCCCCAGCCCGGCACTCAGGTCCAACCAGCTAGGCGATTTGACGATATATTGCTTTGCACTTCGTGGGGCCAATTTGCGGCGACGTCACGTTTTGGGCCCATAGTGAAGTAGCCTTTTGCAGGGCTCCTTCTTTCTGGTGGGTGAGGTTTAAATGTTTTGACTCGTGGCAGAAATCAAGTTGGCATCCTTTTCCACCGCCAAACGAGCCTCTTGTGAGGGACCCGACGAGCATCCGGGGGCTCAAAAATGGTTTGTCTTTTGGACAAGGCTGCTAAAGCCAGTATGGTGACGTGGAATCTTCACTATGAATGGTGTTTGCCTTGGTGGTCAATTTTTCGCCGGACGGCAACAAACAGGCACAAATCGCAAAGGCACTGCGATGAGCAAGCTTGGATCGGTCCAGCGAAACCAGTCTTGGGGCGGCATATGCGTTCAAGCAGCACTCGTATCTCGAATGGTTGCCGTTCTGCCTGTGGTGGTTGGAGCCAAATGCAGTCAACCAAAAGGTTTCCCTGCAAGGAGCTTACATCAGTGTTTGTGAGCCACCAGTTGCATCTAGTTCAATTTATCCTAGTCGTGCAGTCGTGCACCTGTATCTCCCTCACGTTCTTTGCGTTTTGCCGTTTTGGGGCACATCACCACAAAGATGCATCAGGGGCCCTCCCCAGAAAGGTCCGCAAACACCTTCTGAGAACCCTCCAGCCTTTGCTGAATTTAGTGCAGGTGCGAGGGGCCCTTGACCATATTTCCTCCCTCACCTTGCCGAACCCAGGAATTTCCACATCAAGCCTGCGCTCTAAGCGCCTCAAGGCCATTCGCGGAATTTGCCGTCTGGTGTGGTTTCTGGGGGGTGAGCGAAAAGCAGTGCATCACGTTCGGGGGGTTTGGATCATGTTTCTTTTAAAGGCCCCCCCTTTCAGGAATCAGGAGCCATGATCCTTGGTGGGACAGTAAAGAATTCCTGCATGAAGAGCGCTGTGAGAACTTGAGAGGTCCTCTGACGGCGGTTCCCGAAGGTCAGAGTCATAGGTGTCAACCCTATCTGAATAGACATAGTGGAAACTCGGTGGCTGAGCTGCTTCAATGAAGTTTGGACAGGGCGGGAACCAGGGCCGGGTTCCCACTTTGATGTCAGATAGCTTCCCCTGTACTTCGGGAATTCATTGGGAAGGCTTTCCAGTACTGCATAAGCAATTCCCACAACTAGGTCCCCCAGTAGTGCCCTTTTACCCTTTTTGGCGGGAAGGTTCCCCTACGAACACAGACTACAGAAAAAAGGCTGCCCTTATTCTAACCTCTCTACTGGAGGACCTGGACAAGCAAAAGTCTTGACTTGCTTTCAGTGGGGTTTTCGTCTCTGGCCAAAATCCGGGCATTGGGGACTCGGCACTTTACCCGGCCACTTGCCAAAACTGAGGGGTTCTCAGTTGTTTTACCTTGTGGTTTCCTTTTGATCGATTTGTTCGGTCCTTTTGGTTGCAAAAGGTGGTCACCTGTGAAGGTCCGACAAGGGCAGGTGAGGTTTTGGAAGACCAAGACACAAAGGGAATGGTGGTTTAATGTAGGAAAGCCATGACATGCTCACCCTTCTGCCTTATTATTTGTTGAGGACGTAGTGCGAATTCCGTTCGTGTGGCATACGCTTGCTACACGAGGATCGCAGTAACCTCCGCCCGGTTGAGCTCGTTAGCTGTGATGCTATGTTAGGGACAAGACGGACAAGACGAAGAAACTTTGCATAACAGCTTTTTGTGTTTTTTTGTTTTGGGGGGGGGCAGCAAGGGCTGGTTTTCCTTGGAGGTGTCGTCGCCCGGCTGAGTCTGAGCCTGCCCGTGATAGCACCACGCACTCTGCTTTTTGCAGTCTCGGACCGCACTTTGGATGGCACGAGTCTGCCAGCACTGACCGATTCCGGACAGTCGTTTGCCCTGAAAATTGGCCCACAGGGCAAACATAATTGTATGGCACCGGCTGAGTTGAGTGGCTGCTCAAAATGAAGTGTACCGAATGAGAAAGCACTGGAGGATGGCTTGGATGATCACTAAAGTGGCAAACCGGCTGCGCTGAAACGAGCAACGTGTCACCTCACAGGGCCTTTGGACTTGCCTTTCAGGCCGCTACCGTGGGGCCCTAGGTTTCACAAGCAAAGCAACCACAAACTTTTGCAGATGACATGTGCACTTATGCTCCTTCCCAGCCAGGGGTTTTGGGTTTCTACGTTTTGAGGGTTTAGTTGGGGGTTCAGTACTTCCATTTCATCCACTAAAAGTTTAGCAGGATATTGGAGGACAGCCCCCACTGGTGGCCTGCGCAAGACCTGGTCCCGTGCCCTGACCAGCCCTGCCACTAACGTGGCTTGGTGTCTGGTTCGCTTTTGCTGGGAGCGCAGTCCGCGCCCGGCTTGGGACGGGGTCCGCAAAGTTGGCCCTGGTGAAAAAGCGCGCGGAGTCGGAGTCGCTCGGATCCCTTCCGTTTTGCTGCCCTGTCAACGGGGAAAGCCCGTTTTGCCCTTTGGGGTTTTCCTGCATTCCCACTGGAGAGTTGCAAGCGGCAAGGTGGAAGACTTGTTGGGCCAAGGTTGGGTCTTTTTGTGCCAGGATGACGATCCATCACAAGAAGATCAGGGAACAGGTTCTTTCGGAGAGTCCCAGTCCCGGCCGATCGATCCCTGTGTTTGCGCGCAAGGTGGGCTTTAACCCACCTCAAGTTGGGCTGACATATGGGTGACCCGCTTGGGACTAGTCCAACGGCATTCATTTGCGCTTGCCCGGGGGTAAAACAAGCTCACTTGTTAGGCCCTGAGGATGAATGTGAGCATTTTAGTGAGCTCGCACGGGATGCACACAGCCTCGTCCGAGTTGCGGTTGCCTCATTCTGCCTTGTAAGAGGAACAATTGGACATGGAAGTGTGCGAGATGGACAGGGACTTGAAGAGGCTTAGTGCGAAGAAAGCTGGCCAGCTGATGTCAACCAAAGATCACTCGCATTATGATAGCACAGTGTGTGCGCTCGGAGGGGAGGAGCCGGGGAGCTTGCACATATGGGCAGCTTGCAGTCCTTCCGACAGTAGCACCACGCTCATGTTTTGCTTTGATGGACATTTGGCTGCTGGTCGAGCAAAGTATTGAATCAAAACAAGCCACCTAGTGTCACAGGAGGAATGATTGTCACAGAGTAAATGAGGTACAGCAGGTCACTTGTCCACAGAGGGCCCGAGAAGGCTCAGATGGGTGAACGCATCACGCAGATTTGTCTTCGCCCCCGTTTTCTGCTCCAGGCCTCGGTAGAAGCCAAATCGCTTGGTGCCGGATGCGGCACGTCGTGGGATATTGCTTTACTGCCTGCAGCGGAGTGCTGCTTGGTGCCTTTCTGGCGCACGGTGGCTGGAGCTTCGCGCAGCTGCAGAAGCCGTGGCCTGGCAAATTGTAAGGTAAGAGGCATGCGGCGATGCTGGGCGGGACAGAGAGTGTCTTGGAGCCATCAGGAACCCAAGTCCTTAAGTAAGCAAGTAACTAGCCCCCCCAACCCCCCAACTCCCCCCGAAAAACAAGAAAAGCAAGCAGGTCCGGAGGTAAATGAGTAAGTAAGTAAGTAAGTAAGTAAGTACCTAACCCCCCCACCCACCCACCCACCCCTCCCCCCCGCAAAAAAAACCAAAAAAAAGAAGAAGAGAAAACAGCAAGCAGGTCCGTAAGTAAGACAGTGCGTAGGCAAGCAAACTAAGTAATTCTGTAAGTAAGTAAGTAAGCAAGTCAGTGAACAAGGAAGTAAGCAAGTAAGCAATTCTGTCTCGTCAATCGAGCCCGAGACTCTGCGATCGCAAGACAGATGCGCGACCACTGCGCCACAACAGCCGGTAAATACTTGCGCGCCGAGGAAAACCAAGCCATTACGCGGGTCGGCGCCCAAGTCCGTAAGTAAAGAAGGTCTATATATATATATAAGCAAGTAAGTAAGTAAGCAAGCAAGCAAGTGAGTAAGTAACTAACCAACCCCCCCCCCCCCACCCCACAAAAAGAAGGCAAGCAGGCCCGTAAGTAAGTAAGTAAGCAAATAACTAACCACCCGCCGCCGCCCGCCCCCCCCCCCCCACCCAAAAACACTGTCCCTTGCTAGCGAGCAAGCAGGCCCGTAAGTGAGTTACTCAGTAACTCCCCCCTTGTATCTAAGTAAGCAAGTCAAGCAAGTAAGTAAGTAAGCCAGAAAGTAAGCCAGGAAGTAGGTCAGTTAGTAAGTAAGTAAGTAAGGAAGTAAGTAGGTAAGTGTCTCGTCACCCAGCGTGCCAGGAGCCAGGAGGAATCGTGCAGGCCCGTAAGTAAGTAAGTCAGTAAGTCAGTAAGTAAGTAAGTAAGTTACCCTCCGCCCCACTCCCCCGCCCTGCGCACAAAAAACGATGCCCCCCTCGCAAGTAACTATTTAAGCCCCCTCTAGTAAAAGTAAGCAAGTAAGTGATTGTCTCGCAAGACAGACGCGCGACCACTGCGCCACAACGGCCCGTAACTACTTTCCCGCGGAGAAACAAAAGAAGCCATTACGCGGGCCGGCGCGCAAGCCCGCAAGTAAGCAAGTAACTAACACGCCTCCCTCTTTCCCCTCACCAAAAAAAGCAAGCAGGCCCGAAAGTAGGTAAGTACGTACGTAAGTAAGTGACCAACCACTCGCCCCCTCCCCCCACCTACGAGAAATAACACCTTCCTTCGCTAGCGCGCAAGCCGGCCCGTAAGTAAGTAACTCACTAACTCCCTCCTTGTAAGCAAGTAAAGCAAGTAAGTAAGTAAGTAAGTAAGTAAGTAAGCCAGCAAGTAAGTAAGCAAGTCAAGTAAGCAAATATGTGTCTCGTCACTCAGTTCGGGAGGAATCGAGCAGGCCCGTAAGTAAGTAAGTAAGTAAGTAAGTAAGTAAGTAAGTAAGTAAGCAAGTGACCCCCCCACCCCCCCCCACCCCCCTCCCACAAAAAATAGGAATGCAGGCCTGTAAGTAAGTAAGTAGGTAAGTAAGTAAGTAAGTACGTAAGTAAGTAAGTAAGTAAGTAACTAACTAACTAACCACCCGCCGCCCCGTTCCCCCCCCCCACGAAAAACAACGCCGTCTCTTTCTAGCGAGCAAGCAGGCCCGCAAGTAAGTAGCTCAGCAACTTCCACCTTGTAAGTAATTAAGCAAGTCAAGCAAGTAAGTAAGTAAACCAGTAGGTAAGTAAGGAAGTAAGTAAGTAAGTCAGCGTCTCGTCACTCAGCGCGCCAGGAGGAATCGAGCAGGCCCGCAAGTAAGCAAGTAAGTAAGTAAGTAGGTAGGTAGGTAGGTAGGTGGGTGGGTAAGTAACCCCCCCACCCCCCCACCCCCTCCCACAAAAAGCAAGCAGGCCCGCAAGTAAGTAAGTAAGTAAGTAACTAACTAACTAACTAACTAACTATCTCACTAACTAACTAACTAACTAACCACGCGCCGCCCTGCTCCCCCCCCACGAAAAACAACGCCTTCTCTTTCTAGCGGGCAGGCAGGCCCGAAAGTAAGTAACTCAGCAACTTCCCCCTTGTAAGTAAGTAAGCAAGTCAAGCAAGTAAGTAAGCCAGTAAGTAAGTACGGAAGTAAGTAAGTAGGTAAGTAAGTCAGTGTCTCGTCACTCAGTGCGCCAGGAGGAATCGTGCAGGCCCGCAAGTAAGTAAGTAGGTAGGTAAGTAAGTAAGTAAGTCAGTAACCTCCCGCCTCCGTAAGTAAGTAAGTAAGTAAGAAAGTACCCCCCCCCTCCCCCGGCAAAAAAAGCAAGCAGGTCCGTAAGTAAGTCAATGCGTTGGGAAGGAAAGTAAGTACGTGAGTAAGTAAGTATGAAGCCAAGTTTGTAAACAAATCAGCAAGTAAGTAAGTAAGTCGTCTCGCCACTCAGCGCGCCAGGAGGAATCGAGCAGGTCCGTAAGTAAGTAAGTAAGTAAGTAAGTAAGTAAGTAAGAAAGTGCCCCCCCCTCCCCCGGCAAAAAAAGCAAGCAGGCCCGTACGTAAGTCAGTGCGTTGGGAAGGAAAGTAAGTACGTAAGTAAGTAAGTATGAAGCCAAGTTTGTAAACAAATCAGCAAGTAAGTAAGTAAGTCGTCTCGCCACTCAGCGCGCCAGGAGGAATCGAGCAGGTCCGTAAGTAAGTAAGTAAGTAAGTAAGTAAGTAAGTAAGTAAGTAAGTAAGTAAGTAAGTAAGTAAGTAAGTAAGTAAGTAAGTAACCCCCCCACCGCCTCCCTCCCACAAAAACAAAGGCAAGCAGGCCCGTAAGTAAGTAAGTAAGTAAGTAACTCACTCACTCACTCACTAACCAACTAACTAACCATCCCCCCCGACAAGACCAACAACACCCCTACTGGGAGCAAGCAGGTCCGCAAGTAAGTAAGTAACGAAGTAAGTAAGTAAGTAAGTAAGTAACTACCCCCCCCCCGCCCCCGCCGGCTAACTAACACCCCTCTCCCCGAACGCGACCCCCTGAGTCACTAAGTATGTAAGTAAGTAAGTAAGTAAGGAAGTAAATACGAAAGTAGACCCCCCCCCCCTCGGAAAAAAAAATCAACAACAAACATTCCTGACTTCGAGCAAGCAGGTCCGTAAGTAAGTAAGTAAGTAAATAACCCCACCTCATCCCGGCCTGTAAGTAAGTAAGCATGTAAGTAAGTAAGCAAGCAAGCATGTAAGTAAGTGAGCAAGCAGGTAAGCAAGTAAGTAAGTCAGCAACTAACCCCGGTCCCCCCAACGCGACCCTGTGAAAAAGTAAGTAAGTATGTAAGTAAGTAAGTATGTAAGTAAGTAAGTAAGTAAGTAAGTGCCTGCCCCTTTCCCCACCCACCCCCCCCCCCAACCCCCCGCTCCCCCTGGGAAAAAAAAAACACACACATTTCTTACTGGGAGCAAGCAGGTCCGTAAGTAAGTAACTAGCTACCTTAACCCCCAACCAGGCCCTTAAGAAAGTAAGTAGGTATGCAGGTAAGTAAGTAAGTAAGTAAGTAACTAAGTAAGTAACTAAGTAACTAAGTAAGTAACGGTAAGTAAGTAAGTAAGTAAGTGAGTGACCGACTGTAGTCGTCCGTAAGTAACATATTGCAATTGTAGGCATCTTACTCACCGACAAGTAATAAATGAAGTACTTCAGCAAGGAAACTCGAAACCCTTCACTTGTATTCTTGTATTGAGCTTTCGCTCAAGGAAGCGAGTCGTCCGTAAGTAACCTACTCGGAATGTTAGCTATTTTGCGTACCGCCTATTTTAGGTAAGGAAGTAAGCAAGTAAGTAACTAACTAACTAACTAAACCCCCGTCCTCCGACCGCGGCCCCTAGGTAAGTACTTTCCCCTTTCCCCACCCCCCAACCCCCCGGCAAAAAAAGCAACAACTTCTTTCTGAGAGCAAGCAGGTCCGTAAGCAAGTAAGTAACTAACTACCTTAACCCCCAACCCAGCCCGCAAGAAGATAGGTAGGTAGGTAGGTAAGTACGTAAGTAAATACTTAAGCAAGCAAGTACGTAAGCAAGTAAGTAAGTAAGTAAGTAATCAACCTCCTTCCCCCAAACCCGGCCCCTAGAGCAGCGGGTAAAATATCTAAAGTAAGTAAGTAAGCGAGTTAAGTAAGCGAGTTAAGTAAGTAAGTAAGTAAGTACGTAAGTAAGTAAGTAAGTAAGTAACCTCCCCCCGCCCCACCGCTCCGTCAAGCAGCGAGTCGTACGCAAGTAACATACTCTCGCGGGTAGGTATGTTACTTACCGCCTGGGGTTCTTACTGCTTGGAGCGGCGCGAACACAGCAGAACTGCGTGCTTCCGAGTGAGCCTCTGTAACTGAGGCAGACACTGCCGCCATTGCAGCAGCCGCAGCTACAGCAGCAACCACAGCTACAGCAGCAACCACAGCTGCAGCAGCAACCGCAGCTGCAGCAGCAGCCGCAGCTACAGCAGCAACCACAGCTGCAGCAGCAACCGCAGCTGCAGCAGCAACCGCAGCTGCAGCAGCAACCGCAGCTGCAGAAGCAACCGCAGCTACAGCAGCCGCCGCAGCTACAGCAGCAGAAGCAGCAGCAACCGCAGCTGGAGCACCCGCCTGAGCCACCGCAGCTACAGCAGCAGCAACAGCAGTCACAGAAGCAGCAGCCACCAAAGCTCGCTGAACACCAGGAGCAGGTGGCATCGCCAGTGGTGCTGAATTTCAGCGCGTCGCCAGAACAGGTGGAGCGGGCGGGCAGGATTTGCAGTGCACGCTGCTCACCCTCTCAACATGACGAAGCAAGGGCACAATTCTGAAATAGCATGCTACCAATGCATTCATGCATGGCGTGTTGCCAAAAGAAACACTTCGCATGTAATTGTTGGCAACATGAACGGCTGACGTCATCGACAAGTGATGGTTGTACCCGCAGTGTTTTTGTTTCCTTTTTTTCTTCTGCAGGACGGCTTGGCAAGCCATTGGACTTGTCTTGGCCAGAGTTTACCGGACACGTATTCCCTGAAAATTCACATGGAGCCCGGAAAAGGGTGCGCCCCCAAAGGGAGATTCCTCCAAAAACCGCGCTATTCGGTAGGTTATGGGAGTAGCCTTCTTCTTTCACTTATAGCCACACCTCAGTCCAGAAGCCTTTTTCTTGTTGTTGCGGGATTCCACCGGTTCTTTTTTGCTTTTGCTGACATCCTTGTGACATCCAAGCGGCCTGGCCGCGCTTTGCGGAGGCGCAGGGTCAGCTCTACGTGGACGGCCAGTTCCTGAAGCGCCGCAGCCGCGCGGTGACGCTGGACCTGCCAGCCGCGGTGACCTGCAATCCGTTGGAGCACCTCGGGGGATTTGGGTGGTCAAAATTAAGCCACCAGGAATTGGACCGCAGGGCGTTCCAAGTTTCCATTTACCAGGGTTCCATTTTGGGTACATAGTTTTGACCCAGAGCCATTTGTGTTAGGATGGAGCTGCCCGGGTTGGTCATTGTTCTTGCTTGCGTCGTTTTGTTGTGTTTGTTTTTTTGTTAAACGTGAAGAGGGTTTTTTCAGGTTGGCTTAAAGGGAAGCCAAAAGAACGTCCACTATTTGTTGGGTCCTCCTTGTTCTGGCACCTACCCAAATAAATCTTTAGTGGCTTCAAGATTGCGCTGGGGCCACCCTGCCCTTGAGCAGTGCAAACCAATCATTGCAAGGGTTCCCATGCAAACTACTACGTTTGTGTGCCATGAGTTTGGTCTTGCCAGGTTTGTCAGGTGCATGTATCCTTCTTTTTTGGTTGGGTGGGTTCAAACGCCCAACAGGGCTTTCCGTTCTTTTTTTCAACCAGGGCCTCTCAGTATCCAGGAGAACCGCTGAAAAGGCCGACAGCCCAGGCACGTCCTGGTGATCAACCTGGAAGGCCCTGGCGGACAAGCCAGACGAGACCACATCAACCGGGAGTTCCGGAAAGCAGGCGGGCCTTGAAAGCGGCCTATCGGTGGCTTGAGCGTGTCTCTTGTGGTACCCATGCAATGGCGCCTACGAGCGGTTTTTAATTTAGCGCGATTGCTCCATGGCTCTGGACTGGATGCGCTAGTGAACAAGCGAGGAATTGCACGGGCAAGGATGAACTACTGCAAAGGGTTCGGCAGGAGCGCTGGCACAGAGATGGCTGGCGGGGGCTTGCTGGGAATGATGTGGTACCTCGTTTGAGGCTACCGTCTTTTGGACTTGAAACCGAAAGGACCCCGAAGCCCTTTTTTTTTGGGGGGGGGTGCCCCTATTTTCTGAGAAGCACGCATGAGCCTGAAGCCTGAAACTGCCAGTGGGCAGGCCTGGAGGGGCGCTTCCTCTTTTGGCCTGCGGTGGACTTCAATACGGACCAGCAGCTGGCCACTTGACAGCTTCGCACACAGAATCACAGGTTCAGTCCAAATGTCCAGTGTATCTGTTTGGAGGCTGGGAAACCAAATCAACCCTCCCGCCCCCCCGTTAATGAACAGGAGGGGTCACATGTAGGAGGAGAAACCTGGACGTTTGGGGGAACCCCCCATCAATCCAGCTTGAGTAAAACACTTTGGACCAGAGACTTCTGTAATTTCCGCAAAACCCGGGCGTCTCTGCTGTGGCGCACGCGGGTGATAATGTGTGATGGGGGGCTCCCCCCAAGCATGTGGAATACACCTACGCCACCCCAACTGAACTCCATACCACCTGAATCCCACTGGGTTCCGTTCAGGGCAACGGAACCTGGGGCCTTTCATGTAGGTTTCATGTTAGTGGCTGAGGGGCGCCTCCTATAGTGACCCAACTCGCACCCGCACGAACCCACCCGCACAGTGCGCGACAGTTGGACTGAGGTGGAGGTTTGACCATCGCAGAAACTTAATCTTGTCCACCCATCCTCTTGAGCCAACACCTTGACTGTGAAAGCCGGGGCTTGGGCTATTGCTCCACGTTGGTCCAAAGGGCTTCCTTGGGTTTGTCTCAAATCACCTGCGACATTTTCGGGTGGAGCCCAACTGCCTTGAAACTGAAAGCGTTTGGTGCGTTGGGTGCAATTTTCGGGGTTTGCATGATTTTGCCACGTGGCAGGGATTTGGTGGATGAGGGCTCCATGATTCGTTTTCCTGTGTAGTTGGTGGGCAATATAGCTAAGTTTTCCCACGAACCAAAGCCAGTTCGCCTCCTAGCCCCCTCCCCAGGAGCAAACTGATATCTGCCCGCTTTTTGCTGCGTGCCTGTTTGCGGTGAGGCGCTTTCAGATAAACTTGTTTGGCCAATCAGCGCGTGGCTGCGCCATGTTGCAGGATGCTCGGTATAGCCAGAAGTGGTTGTTTGGACCCCTCAAGCGAAAATTGCCCGCTGCTAAGGCCTCTAGACCCTTGAATTGATAGCCTGTACGAAACCAAGTCCAGCCACGGAATCCGTCCTCCTTCCCCTGCTTGCGTGCCATTTAATTTGGGAAATCAACCATGGAAGATACTGTTCAACAGTCCCGAGGCCAAGGAGATGGGCATGAAGCAGTGCCCCTGCGATCCCAAAAAGGGATGCAGCTTGGCAGGCAGCGGCTGGCGCAGTTTTTGGGTTGCTCAAGGCCAGTCATTCGTGTTTCATGCGGGAAGCCCGTTGAGAGAGGCCTAAACAACGATATTTGTGCGTGTATTTGCGCTGCTTGTAGGAAAACTCACTCACCAGCCCAAAGTGCGTGCTTGTGTTTTCAGTGCTTTGGGTTGTTTGTGTGTTGGTTCTTCATACTGTTCGCTTTGTTCATTTCATTGGTGGCACCGAAGCTGCCTGTCTGTTTGTGTTTCATCCCTTGTCCTTTGCAGCGGTCAACAGGCAAGCCCGTGCTTGTGAAGTGTTGTGGCAGCTAGGCATTCGGAGCGAGAGGGGCCGAGTGTCATTTCGTGCGTGTTTTTGCAGTGCTTTTTGCGTGTCGTGGCGATCGTTGCCCATCCCCCCGCCTCACAGGACTGACATTCAGTTCTTTATCCAGGTGCCGGGAGCATCCCTCTACATGGGCCCACGGTGAAATGTGAAAGCTGGCTGCCAGAGGCGGCCACCAAGTTGCCCTCAAGTTGTACTTGATGAATTCAAGGGTGGCCAGGTGGTAACTAAAAGCATTGGGTCTAACATGAGTCAGCATGAAACGGAGCTTTTGAAGAACTAGGATGACCCATTTCAGAGTCTTGCTGCATGCCGATGTTACAGCATGTCCGGAGTAGGCTTGTTGGGCCAGGTGTATTGAATGGTTTCCTGCCTATGGCCTGTAGGTGGGCAAAGCTGAGAGGCACGGGTTGCAACCCTGGCTGTCAAACTCACAGCGGATGTCATCCAGCCATAGGCTTTGAAAGGCTTTGCAGCTGAGGCGGGCTTAGCCACCGGCGCATTTACGAGATGATGATGGCAGAAAAGTGGCCGTGCGCAACGATCTTCGAAGATGATGTGACCTTAGCGGCCAACTTCTCCACAAGGCTTGCCGCCCTCAAGGACCTGAAAGCGAGCTTCCACGCGGGGTGCCCGAAACCTGGTATAGAAGTTTCGGCACCCTTGCACGGTTTTGGAGCCACAGGTTTGCAGGCGCTGTGCCTATAACCTGTTGGCATTGCTGGCCTTATGCAAGGCTTGTGGGAAATCACAACCCATGCCCGCATGTGTCGGTGAATGGTGAAAGGTCCGGTACGTGACGGCTGCCTTTCTTGGAGGCACCCTTGAGCAACGTAAAGGGGAGGGTGTCCTCCCAGTAAACACACCCTCCCCCCCAACACTTTCCCTTTGTAGCTATGGACGAATGAGAAATTAGGACCGCCATAGGACTGTTCACAAGCTCGATGGCGCGTTGAGTTATTTGCATCCTTGGGGCCCAGCCCCAAACAACAATACGGCAATGAATTCTCATCGGGACCCTGTCAAGCCGGGTGGACATAAATCTTTATAATTTATATACATATATGATGTCCATCTTGGATCCCAAAGGAAACTTCACAGCCATGCGGTGTGGTAAACTTTCCTCTCCAAGCCGTGAGGACAGCATTCCCCCCTTCGACGTGATTTTACTGGGCTACTGCCCCGGCGGTTCGAAGCCGCGGCGCGGGCCAAAGGACCAGTCCTCTATCCCCACGCTGACCTTCGGCCTTGGTTCGGCCCTTTCGGGTGGCTTTTGGCGGATCCTACGATCTGTCTTGCCTGTTTCGAATTTGTTGTTCGAGTTCACGAAAGTCATGTATTCTATTTTTGGTGTGGGGAGTTCAAAAGCTGAGGCAGTTGTTCAACCCACAAGGCAATCCCCCGAAAGAGAATGTATGGAAAGATGAGAGGGTGACCCTGATTCAGGAGTTCTTAAGAATCTCACTCCGATTCACTTTTGAAAAGGGATCTCTGTGAGGGTCTTGTCAGCTGTTCAAGGGTACTGCAATCCTCAATCCTTGCCTTGGGTTGCGCAAGGGGTCGCCTTTGTAGTGGCTTCCCTATAGGGATTCTGGAATAGGATAATAGGATTGGCCATTTTCTCATTTTGAACAGCCCCGCTTGTAGTATGATGTTGGTTCGCTTAGTCAAAAAAGGAATGCCAAGCACTCGCGCTGATTTTTGCAGCAGCTCAAGTCGCTTCACCTTCAAGGAGGGCAACGTAGTTTTCTCCTTGAGTACGTTCCATCATGACAACTCGTGGGCTTGAACTTCACACATGCTGTGATTCAAATTTCAATGACGCACCATCCCTTTCCAACAAAAGAGGAAGAAACCAAAAACCGCCGCCTTGCAGACAAAAAACACCACTGAAGCTGGAGGTGGGCGCCTTGAGGGTAGCTTCTCGCCCAAGGAAGTACGGGTGGCCGGGCGCCTGTGTCCACGCTTACGTGGTGAGCCTTCAGGGGGCGAAGGCCTTGACCTTGGCCAACACGCCCGTGAAGGCGCGATCAAATCGTCCAAGCGATTTCGCGGGTGGCTTTATTGGTTTCACTTGGTTTATTTTTGTTCAGGGTCGCGAGATATGGCACACGTTATTTTGGTTGGTTTTGTTGGTTTTATCTTTGGTTCGTTTTTTTCAGGCCCATTTCACATCCAACACCCAAACCCTCACCCTTAAAGAACCATCTCAAGCTATCAGGTGCCCCCAGACGGTGCCATGGACGGGATGCACCACTGGGGGAATCGGCTCCGCCTCCACATCGACCGAAAGCCTGGGGTCTTGACCGGCTCCTACTGGCAACCAGGCGAAAAGTTGACATGAGCCACAGTCAAAGCCCGGGATGAATCTTAGTACGGGACAATCCCAACTATAATTAGCTGTGGCCGCCTTCTTAATTCTTTACATGGTTCTGGGTCGACCATTTTAACACCGGGTTTTGACTATGACTCACATGGCACATGGGTGTTTCTCAAAATGTGTGGGTTTAATTGGAAACCAAGAGGACGCCAACTTCCTGGAGCTGGGGAGGGTCCCTAATTTTGAAATACCGGCGCATGTTCACTGGTGCCCAGTAATTTCGACAGACAGGCTGACAGCGTGCTCGCATGCCCATGTGCCCAGCGCATGTACATATGTACTAGCTATGTTATGTACTTGTATAGCGACGCCCTTTGGTGTCCCATGTCCAGCTCTGGCCGCGGGCTGCCCTTGTACATGCTGGTCCTTTGAGCGTTTTCTTGTTGGCCAACTTGTATTTGGACTCATGGCTTGGCCCAATGTAATGAATGGTGCCTTGTTGCCAATTGCACCACTAAGGAGAAAACAAACTTTCCAGAAGACAGAAGACCCAATTTGCGCCAACCATGTGGACACAAACCTCTTTGTGTGGGACCTTGCGCAAGTATTCTGGTATGGCAAAGCTACTGTTCTGCCCATGAGCTGGGCAATCTAGTTTGACAGTGCGCGTGGTCGGGGCAAGTGAGGTACATCGATCCCCAGATGGCATGGCAGGGAGTTGAGGCGGACAACTTGGAGGGTGGCGTCTAAGGCAAGTATCATAGCGTTTCACCATCAACGTAGCTCATCCATTTGCAAGCCAGCAGCATCAAAGAGAGAAAAAGGACGCGAGGATGATTGTCAGGCAGCAATACGAAGCTTGGTAAGATGACCAATCAAGGGCAAGCATGAATGCCCCCCCTGATTTCGCCAATTCATGGATCTCCAAGGTAGGCAACAGGTTATCCCTAAAGCAGCCAAGGACAAGCCAAGGATAAGCAGCCTGGATTTGTTTAAAAACAAAAACCTGGTCGATTGATAGGGCGGTGTCCCGGTTTTTTTTTTGGGGGGGGGGAGGTGTTCAGACCATTTTTGAAGGAGGGGGAATCCTGATGTGTGGCTAGCGTTGCAGGGCAGTGCCTCTTTGCGGGCGATCCAGGATCATGTCTTGCAGAGGAGTGCGTTGCTTTGGCCTACGTTTGCTTGCGATGCACATGCCAGCATGCTTGCACGGGGGCGGGAGCAGCATGGTCTGCGACGTTTGGTCCAGAATTAGAAGTGTGTCTGAGGCACTTGAGCAACATAGTTACCGTGCGTTTCGAGCAGTTGATTCGCTACAAAGTGTCAGACATCAAACACCCAGACATGCTTGCCCTGCATGTGAATGTAGTGATACCCACCTGGAAAATCAGTGACATTGTCTGCTCTCCAGTGCTTCAAGTCAAAGCAAGGTGTCATGAAGAGGCCAAGCCTAATTTCCATGTGCGAAAAAGCGAGCATTGGATCGCAAAACGGCGCTTGCATAGAAACCGAGTCCGCTATGAAGAGAGGCGTTGGCGCCTTGGTTTGGCTGGGCCTGGCGACCTGCTTCGTGGGCCGACCTTTGCTTCGGCCGTCCAACAGGGCACTGCTTCGAGCAGAGGATGAGGAGGCGACCGTCTCGGCCATAGCCCCAGCCGTTGACTGGCTGCCGTCTTTGGATCCTAAGATGCTTGTCAAGGATGGCCTTTGTCCATGTCCATGCTTTCTTTGGCCAGCAGAGCTTCTGGATGCTGGAAACCAACCCCACAAGCCTCTTTCCGTTCTGAAGCCAACCTAGGAGGGCGTCCAATTGCTAGAGCCCACACACCCGTTTGCATGTTTGTTTGTTTTCTTCGGTGCCGCATCCTTTCCAGCCAAGGATGGAGGAGATGGAAGCCAGCGAGGGCTCTATGGTACTGCCAGTGTTCCCTTTAGGGGGGCCCTTCATGCCCTATTCCAAGCAGAAGCTGAACATTTTTGAGCCCCGCCCCTTTGCTGATACGTGGAGCGGACTGGCATTACCCCCAGCGTCATGGTCGGAACGACCTGGCGTTGGCCAAGGGCCCAAAGCGGCTGAGTGCGACATGGCTCCTGAGCAATCTTCAAGAAACCCGCAAGGTGATCAACAATTCTCAGATGGCCAGGCCCCCCCCCCCCTATTTTGCGTTGTATGCGTCGCATGTGAAACCCGAATTCCACACTAGGACTCACTAAGACTGAAATTTTGGCCGCCATTGGGTGGGCGTGGTTTGAGGGCATTTCCCTCCATTCCCGCAAGGACAACCCGTGCCAATGGTATTTCATGGCCCTCTTTGAATACAACAAATCGGGTATCTTATCCCATGGCACCACACATACTGCATCGATGGCCGGAATACAGAACTTGCAGTATTTGTTTGGCGTGGGTAGCAGGACCAGCGTCTTCCGTTCAGCTAGCGGCCATGTATTGTGAGCTTGTCATTGGCCAAGGCTACAGGGCCCTCTACGACCATATCCTCCTCTCCGGGTCCCGCCGCTTTGTCGTCACCTCTGCTGATCCTTTCTCAGAGGCGGAGGTGCGATTTGCGGAGGTGGGCGTCATCTTTTACCTGGACGACTTGCAAGAAGTTTCGGAGCCTTGATCAGCATCCAGCACCTCTTGGGCAGAAGCCCGTGGGATTTGCATATGCGTGGAGGCATCCGTGCAAACATGACGCGCTGCAAGCGAAGTCAACATGCTTGTTCGCCCTTCTTCCCGTCATTTCACGGAAAGCGAGCAACAACCCAAAGGGTTCCCAGTTTTGTCCATGGCCGAACCCAAGGAAATGACCCAAGACCAGATCAAGTACGTTTGTGATCACACAGTGATCGGCCGCGTTCGCATCAAGCGGGTCCTGAATCCTGCAAAGTGGTTCGACAGGACCACCTTCTTGCAAGCTGAGGCAGGACCGCTGCAAAGGTGTTCCAAAAGCGGCCCAGTTGTTTTTGAGGGGAAGCCAACCACCTGAATGGCTCCATGATTTTCAGAGACGCCCATTTAATCAAGCCCAGAAGGGTCTCGATTTTTCCCCTGGCAAGGAGGCAAGTTGGATGTGTGGTTTCCTTCTGCCTCCTCCCCCAAAACAGAGGACCCAAGCCTCCATACAAAATGAGGCCCATAGCACTCCAAAGAAGCCTCCCACAAAGCCTTCGTTCCAGAAGACTTGCAAATTGAAACCCCGGCCTGAGGTGGAGGAATTTGAGGACCAAGACACCGAGGACTGCTGGAAATTGGAGGGCCAAGCGCCTAAGTTCGAACTAGGGTCAAGTGCCAACCCCCCGAATGTTCAGAGGCTGTGTGAACCCTTCCAAGACAGGGTTAACCCACAGGCCATGTTCTAGGGCTGATTCTGGCGACATCCGGGAATGAACGGCCTGGCCGTCCGATCTGCAGCTCTCTTGTCGTCGACAAAGGAAAAGGGAATGACCAGGACCAAGCGTGGCGGCGTCCCCCATTTAAGCCAGCCGGGAAAAGGGCATCCTCAACAAGTATGCAGCATTATACAACCATATCGGAGTGGAAGTGCGCGATCAACATTCAATCAAGGTACTATGGGTGTACCATAGCTCGTTCTTGCGAGAGATCGATGTTCAAATGGTTCAATGTTAGCGTTCAGGGATGGATGAACAAAGGAAATTGTTGAAGTGAGGGGCCATGTGTCGAACTTCCCGCCTCAAAACAGTGTAATTGCGAGCCGGTTTGGCTATTTGAGGTGTGTGAACGGTTGCCGACCAACTCACATTGCTCTTGCTGAAACGCGCCCCTTCAGGTCATGGCGAGCATGCTGTCTTTGTTGGCCACAGCTTTCAGGACCTTAGAATCCTCACCCCACCCAAAACATTATATATACATATACATATAAGGGAGCAATTCCATTTAAGGCTGCATTTCACATTTTTTTTGAGGGAATACTAGATAAATGGTGCCACCCCCTTCCGGGGGGGGTACCTGGAGAGAGTTGCCCGTATTGTTTGCAAGTCATGGCTTCCGTCTTGCACTCGGCAGAGTTCTGTCTGGCTCGCGCGACCAAATCTGATCCCCGCCGCGGCACGGTTGCGCAAATGCATAGTCGGTTGATGTGCGATTTCTTGCACAGGATCCCCGGGACTCTCCACCTTGTAAGCAGTAAATTGCTCTTCTTCATCAACTCCCCGTCAAAACGCCGGCAAGGGTGACGTAATGGAAGCGAGCGATGCGGTTGATCTCAACGTGTGATGGCACAAAGCGGCGCAACGTGTGGCTGCGAGCAAGCATGCAGTTGGCCACTTATGGCATGCCAGCTGTTGCAATTCTTCAGTATCGGTGCGCTCTTGCGGCAGGTCACGCGAGGCTTGAACATTTGAGATTGCTTGTTTAGTTGTCGCGTGACCTGTTGGCGATGTGTGACATTGTGGGGGCCAGCAGGTCACGCGATTTGCACGTGTTCCTTCCTTCAGACTGACGTGAGTAGCTTTCGCGTGCTGCAAGGTCATGGACAAGCTGAGGGGCTTGATTCCTCTCTACCAAGCATCTTAGCCAGACTTAGGCCTTCTGACATCCACGGTGTTTGATGCGATCGGGTTCTGAGAAGTTTTGGCATGTGGTGTGCAGTTGGTCAACTTCTTCTAGGTTTTTTAGTAGTGCCCTTTTACCCTTTTTTGGGGGAGGGTTCCCCTACTGAAAGGGTACCCTTCTAACCTCTCTACTGGAGGACCTAGTCTTGTTGGTGGATCAGAGCGTAAAAAGGAAGAAAACACCAAGGAATTGCGGCAGCCGCGCTATGATCCGGCCACCCTGGAGCAGATGAACGCCAGTAAGGAGGAGAAGGGCTTGTGGAGTTTGGTGGACCTTTGGGTGCAGCTGTTGCAAGCCCAGCTGCAGATGCTGCAGCAGGAGGTGGCGACTTGACCGGAGCTGAACGGAAACGGAAGGGAACACCTTTCTTCTCTTTTTTTGGGCTCAGGCAAAACAAAGGGAAGCACTTTTAGGACCCAATGATTTCTGGTGTTTCCGGATGGGAACAGTTTTGGCAGGTGTAGCTGTCAGGCCATTTGGTACCAAAAGATCAGCTGGTCAGCTCATGTTGTTTCTAGGTCCTTCAAGCCACTGAGTTATTGGCTGATAAGAACTTTGCTATTTCCGGCTAGCCTTTTTTTGATTTCTGGAATGGCAACCCTTGAGACTATGAAAGGAGCTAGCCAAAAGTATTGGCAATAGCTTTGGGATTTAGCACAAGTTCTGTTTTGAATAAACAAACAATGTGGACCGGAAAGGGACGTGCTTAGTCAGAAAAACTTTTGGGCCTTGGGAGGTGCCCCACAAAATTAAGAGGGGTCTTTGGCCAAACCTTTTGTGTGCCTTTCGAGTAGAGTCAGCTGGGAGTCACTGGGCGTCTGAAAAATGAAAAAAAAGGAAACACAACAGAGGGGGGTGATCTCGATTTTTTTCACGCGCATTTCGTGCAATCGAACCCACCAAATTTCCCCCCAAGCCTTTGCAGAACACCTTTAAAGTACAGCTGGGAGTCACCGGGCGTCTGTGCATTTCGTGCATTCGCGTGATCGAACCCATCCAAAATTTCCCGACCCAAGCCTTTTAGCTCCGCTCAGGACATCGTGTCATGGAACCCATCCAAAATTTCCCAAGCCTTAGGACAAGAAGATGAAAGTGATCCTGGAGCCCTTCTTCAAGGCGGAAGGGGGCATCAAGAGCATCAATGACCTCCCCGACAACGTGCGCGCCCAGCTGGGGAACCTGCAGCAGGAGTTCCAGGAGAGCGGGGCCCCATCAATGGCCCTTCGGGGAAACCAGGAAGGAGACCAAAAGGAGGAAGAGGGGACTTACCAAGACGGGGAAGGACTGTAATCCAAGATTGGATTTACTGAAAGAAATGGGATCCAAAAACGGCAATGACTGTGGCCACAGACTTTGATAATTATGAAACGCTCAGGGGGCTCCCTTTGAGTTTGACCAAAGGGTTTGGGTGGGGAGGAAAGAAAGGTTGCGCAAATGGGACCAGTTCAAGGCAGGGGAACTGAACTCGGAGTTATTGCTGAGCGGGGAGAGGGAACTGCAAGGAACGCCACGTTTTGTCAGGAGTCCGCCAAGGCCAAGGTGCTCTGGCAGTTTGAGTTCGCGCAGCGGATGATGCAGTCAGACCCTCCGGCTGAGAGAGGGGGAGACGAAAACCTGACGAGAGGTCCCTGAAAGAAAAATGGGGCGTGTCTATTTTGAGACGACCCCCCCAAAAAATTGGTGGGTGATCCTTTTGGTTTCTTTTTAAAAACCACCATAACAAAGGTGCCCTCATCAAAATCTCTCCCAATTGTCCTTTTCAAGGGGCCTTCTTGTGGGTTCGATATTGGTGGGTGGGAAGTGTAGCTCTATTTATACATTTGAAATGCTTGTTGAAATGCTTGAGATCCAAACATAAGCCAGTGTAAACATGTCACCAAGGGCGGTTGTTGGTCGAGTACTTGCAGCTGCTTCAAAAAAATCCATGGCACGCAGTGCCACACAAGAGCGTAGTCAAAAGCCAGCTAGCGCCAGGAATCCAAAGGATGCACACCCACTTTGCAGACTTTTGCTCACGAAGTGGGGGAAAGATGGATTTTTCTGAGCATGGGTTGCACGATTGGTTTGTCGGCTTCTTACCTTCGAGTGAATGGACAAAAAGTGATGGTTTTATTGCAAGTTCAATCAGATGCCATTCAGTCAGCTCACCAGGATAGTCACAGACAGCGCTTGGAGCTGTTCATTGACACCTTGGACGAGGAGGAACGGAAGGTCATTGCATTGAAATCCTTGAAGTCTCTTGGAAGTGGTGACTGAGCAACTGGTCCACGGGCCCGCTTCGCCATTGTTTGGATTTGCATGTTTTGGAAGATCAAATGAAAGCCAAGCAAGTCTGGGTGAAGTGGGCAAGAATATTTGTCTTAGGCTGTGTTTTGCCGACTTGCTGTGAGTCAGCAGAAAGTCACATTCTGAGTTTTCCACCGGCTCACTACGCAGTGCGATCTCCTTGTTTTCCTTCCATGTTTTCGGATCGCTGTGACCAATTGGGCGGGGCAAAAGCAACGGGCGAACAGATGGGACAAATAAATATGTTTTGCAAACACGAATTCTACAAACATACAAATATATATATATATATATGGTACCCCCCCCCCCATTGACTCTGATTTTTTTGGCTGCATGACTTTGAAAGCAATCTTGGAAGCAATCTTGGGTTGTCAGCCCAGGGGGGAATAAGGGAAATAAGGATCCTTATTCCCCTTATTCCCCTCAAACCCAAGAACCCAAGAACCCAAGATGCACAGAGGACTTTTGGAAGCAATCTTGGGTTGTCAGCCCAGGGGTGGAATAAGGGGAATAAGGATCCTTATTCCCCTTATTCCCCTTCAAACCCAAGAACCCAAGAACCCAAGATGCACAGAGGACTTTTGGGAGCAATCTTGGGTTGGCAGCCCAAGAAAAAAGGAAGGGACATGAGGATGCTTATTCCCGTTCTTACCTTCAAACCCAAGATTGCTTCCAAAAGTCCTCTGTGCATCTTGGGTTCTTGGGTTCTTGGGTTTGAGAGGAATAAGGGGAATAAGGATCCTTATTCCACTTATTCCCGTTTCTACCTTCAAACCCAAGATTGCTCCCAAAAGTCCTCTGTGCATCTTGGGTTCTTGGGTTCTTAGGTTTGAGGGGAATAAGGGAATAAGGATCCTTATTCCCCTTATTCCCTTCCTCCGCTCAGACTTGGCCTTTGCATCTTGCCAAGAGAGTCGAAATTCTGCTATATTCAGCTCTCAGGCAGCTCAAGTCCTTATTGTCTGTCTCCTCCTTCTTTCTGCCATGGCTTCCTTTGACGTGGTTGGCAAGGTCAGGTTCTCCAATGGCGCAGCCGAGCTGCGAATCCAACCAGCGTCTAGCCCTGCTTCATCCCAAGCTTACAAAGTCGACAAGGAGAAGCCTCGGGTCACTCTAGATGAAGTTCTTGAACAACACGAACGCGGAGCAATCAAAATTCATGACAGCCGGCTTCCATTGGATCAACGCGCCTTGCGTTCCATGATGTACAACACACAGAAAACTCTGAACATCGAGCCCTTGGGCCACATGGGCAGTGCACCATGACTCAGTTGTCCACTGCAAGAAGCTGATCACACTCAAGAATGGGAAAAAGAAATGGAGCTCCCCGCAATACGTGCGAGTGGTGACTCACAGGCTCCGGGATGGAACCCAGCTGAAGGTAAAAGCAGGCACCCAACACGTGGACAGGGCTTGGCGGTTTATTAAGGACCGGTTAAAATTGAACCAAAGGGTTCGAGCTGGGTCCAAAGCAATCAGGAGCCGCATTCGTTCAGCCCAGTATGAGTACTGGATGCGGGGCCAAGATCTCTGGATCAAAACTGGAGATCTGGTGAAGGATGCAATGGCTCCTTTTGTACAGAAATAGAGAGAGTTTTCTGCAGCAGAAAACAAAAAAGCGCGAAGTGCGTCTCACTGCCTGCTTTCCAAGTAAAGTTCCACTGAATGAAGCTCTCACTGCACCAAAAAAAACACACACATAAATCTTCTGCTGTCACCTGTCA